TAGGTGTTGATGTGGTAGCTTGTTGTCTAGGTGTGCTCCAGGTTTGTGGAGCTGGGTAGACCGATCAACTCTATTATCACCTCAGCTAGGAAAGGAAGAGTAAAGGATACTCTCGAAAAATCAGAAGCCCTGAGGTAAAAATAGTTTTTTTTACAATATTAAAATTTGTTTAATTCAGGCGATAAATAATATACTAGTTTAATTCATACATATTTACAAACTTATAAGAACATCTTAATTACATTATATGTATTGTTATATTCACATAGAGGATTTTAAATTGTAAGCTTGAAATTACGTCTACAGTCTCTTTGAGCCAATTTAAAACATTTTTACGTTAGCCTAATTTTCTATTTATAATAAAATTTCTGAAATATTTATAGAGATATCGAAATAAAATGTTCAATTTAAGGAAATTTTTTTATGCATGACACGCTCATGTCACAATGATTACTTTTATGTTTTTCATTTCTTACAGTGCACAAAGATTATCTTTATGTTTTTCATTTCTTACACTGCACAAAGATTACCATAATGTTTTTCATTAAAATTTAATAATTTAGGATAGTAAATCTGCAGAAATACGGTGGTAGGCGATTATATCAATACAATGAAGACGACTTTAGATTTCAATATTGATTGATATCAAGCTTTTAAAAAGTTTGGATACACATAGAAATAGAAGTCAAGAGAAGCAGTCAATTAAAAAAACTTATCTTTGATTACTTTCAAACTTGTAGTTCGAAAATAGCTTGTTAACAATCGAACCTTAAATAAAACAGTCGTCTTCATTGTGTTTATAAAATCACCTACCACTCCATTATTATATATAAAGGGCCCAGTGCAATAGTTTGACCAGCCTGGCTACTATGGTGGCGGAGTTAGCTGTTCAGGTCAACTCTTTGCAAAAAAAATACATTTTTAAGTCCAATAGTACTGCGACAAAAAAATGTTAATAATGTTAGTAAAGCACTTTAGTCTTTGCCACAAACTCAATTTTTCCAATTTCTATATCTTTGTAACCTGATGGTGCAAACCTCTATAAATATTTCAAACTTAGATTATTTTATATAACAGCATTATTTGTTTGAAATATCCAAGGTCTTCGGCATTGGAATCAATGCATGGGATTAGAAAATTAGAGTTTGTGGCGTAGACTCAATTCCTTTTTATGAAAACATCGAAAACATCATAGTTATCTGAATTTTAATATAATCAAATTTATCTTTAGAATGTTACAATGTTTCCATTTTGCAGGATGAAGAGAAAAAACTTTTAGATCTTGCTAAAACCCAGCTTGAGGAAAACATACGAACAGAATCAATTTAATTTTAAACTTGTTTAATGTTTAATCAATGGATTAAATCAAACAAAAAAATATATTTGCATTTTATGCAAAATTAATTTCGCTAGATGAAGTTGTATATTAGAATATTCAAACCTTTTAAACATATCTTCTCTTTATATCTCTATAAAATAAAGCTCTTTGCTCATATAGATATGTTAGCTATAGCTGGCAAAACGGCTGGACCAAATTGGCTGACATTTTTTTGGAAAACCGTGGGTACCCTAGGGGTAACTAGACTAAAACGTTTTTTTTTTCAAAATCGATTTTTTTCATCAAAATTCGAGTTTTTAACCAGCCCATTATTGCCCCAATATGGTGGAATGTTATGGTAAAAGAACAATCCAATCGTACACAATTATTTAAAGGTCTTCATTTTAATGTCTTCAATATTCTTTCCTAAATGTATTTCGCTAATTTTGAAGAATTAAGCTCGTAGACAATATTTATTTTAAGTTTTTAACGGAATCAAATCTAAGAACTATGATGGCGTCGTATTGTTCAGAACTTGTGTACACAAGTAATAAACGCGGGAAATATTCTGGCGGAGATACCTAAAAGTGCAGCTGCTCAGGAGAATAGTGAACTATTTAAACATGCTTGGATTAATCAGGTGGGTTGACATTTTCCAACTTAAAAAAAAATTATTAAAAAGATTATGTATTATGAATCAGGATATAAGATTAAAATATCTGATTTTGATTAAACGAACCTTACAATTTTAACCCAAAAAAATTTCCATTTTAATCCTATGTTAACAAATGAAAAATGTATCATATTAAATTGTTAATTAGTAGCTTAACCAAAAGAAACTTTAAAATTTGAAAACTGTTGAAACAAGTGATACTCGGGCCTCGATTATTTTTAAATCAACAGAGATATTATTAATTCCATTCTTGTATCTGCTGCATAAATTTGTAAGTCGAACATTTAAAATTATTGATTTTTAGATATGAAACTAATTCCGATGCACGCCATTCCATGCAATTCCGTGCAATTCCGCGCAATTCCACGCAATTCTGAGCAATTCCGCGCAACAGAATTTCAATAGGAAACCCTAAGTCTAGTAGATGAGATGGTTCCCCTTCCCCCCTCCCTCCTGTTTATATAATATATATGTTTGTCTAGATGCGCCTGCTAGTAGATGCAGTAGATGAGATGGTTCCTCTACCCCCTGTTCTAGATGTTCTAGAGACTCAGCTCATTGCTGATGTCGGAGCAGCCTGTAAAGGTCAGCTAAGCAAGATATACTCCATGCAAAGATGACAATGTCCGTTTTACAATGTACTATTAAAAGCTTTGTCTGATCAAGTATGATCTGCATGGTTTTGTTTATTTAAAATGTTTATTTTCTTTTTGGACTTTGCAAAAGTGACTTGTGCATTTCTTGCTTTTAAGAAACAACGGAGAAATTATCAGAAATAAACACTTTTCGATTCGAGTCAGATATAAGTTTTGATCAGGTTAAGGTTTCAAGGGTACCATTGTATATCGGGCATTGGTATTTTTGCATGAAGGCTCACTTAGAGTTAAGCTTACAGTCCCTTTAACCCTCAAATCGGCTAGAGCCCCCCCCATTTGAGCTATGTTTTTAGTGATAATGTTTATTATAAATTGATTTAAATTTAGTTTGTCTCATTGAATAATTGATTGATTAATTGATTTAATAATTGATTGTATGATTGATTGAATAATTGTTTGAATAATTGATTTATTGATTGATTGAATCATTGATTGAATAGTTGATTTATTAATGGGTTTGTTAATTAATTGATTGATTGATTGATTTCCTCAGCTCTGCAGAATCGAAGAAGTCAGGATGTAAACCAGCTTTCAAGAAATATATACTACAGAACTCTTAGGTTAATAACAATATTAATATTGATAATAATTATAAATAATTTAAAGGGAGTGTTCGTGAAAAATGAAAAGAGGTATATAGCCTTACGGCGAAAAATAATTGCTTTTGATGCTACTAATCTTACTTCTATCTGTTGCGTCTTTAAAAGGAGAAAATTGTTAAAAACGACTGATACTGAAGAATGTATGTTCATACAAATTCAGAAAGTTGCAATATACGACTCGGATCGTAAAAAAATCAATTTAATTTCTAAGAAATCATTCAGATATTACAACCTATCGTCATCAAATATTTTTCGAAGCATTCGTATATTTTCATAATATTATTTATTTCTTTTAAATACCATGCACTTAAAACAAAGTTTTTTTTCCACTATGTGTCTCTTCCACGCGTAATCATTCAAAGCATCGAGAGCATGGCGGCCAACTATTTCGGCAAATAATCTATGACTATGGATTGTACTATCTGAATGATTTGTTTGAAATTAAATTGATTTCTAAATGATGATAATAATAATAAATTTAGGGCGCTTCGCTCCCATCTTCTATTTCAATTAAGCAGTTGAGACAATTAAGAGAAAAATATTCCCAGTTTTTTCGAAACAAGTTCAAGAGACAGTCAAGGTGATTTAGGGGGTTCAAGGGCCCACTCAAGGTGATTTAGGGGGTTCAAGGGCCCACTCAAATCTATGAAAATGGGGACTAAATGTTGTCTGGGACCTCACATTACCCGAGGGAAGTTTTATGGATAATCAAAATTTCAAAAATTTGTCATTATCAAAATCGATTTTAATAGTATTTGGACAGTGGCCATTTGTTTCAGATACCTTTTAAAACATTTCTTTTTAGTTTGGTCGAATGATTTCAAGATTTTTTTATGTTTAAGATTTCATGAGTTTTTCCTAATTTTTATGCGGGACAACTTTTTTTATTTTTGTTTATATTTAGGCATTGAAACGTGGAGATGAAATCGATGAAAACGAGTTTATTGATTGCACACGGTATTTACTTTGTAAATGCAATATTATTTATGCTGTTTTATGATTACCATTCCCCCCCTTCCCCTGAAGAGTTTGATATAAATTTGTAAAACACTTGCAAACCATCAATTTAAGTTACTTTTCTATTAAATAATATTTTAGATTAAGAAGCATTTTAACAGACAATCATTTATCATTATTATGCAATTTGATAATTTCCTAACAGAACATTTTCCTAAAAGCAAACTTTTCTACAATTTTACCAATTAAAAGAGACGAACACTCCTATAAAACCATTTCAATGTTTTTGATTCACCTTCAAAAATCTTATTCTCGGTTTAAACTATAATTTTAATGGTAATTTTGATCGCAACCGAATCTTCTGCAATATCTGTTTTAAGTAAATATGTGAATAATTTTCAAATGAACTATAAGCGTTATTCTAACTGACTCTTCATGCAAAGATGGCAATGTCTGATTCATAACGGTACCCGTAGAAACTTTGTCTGGGGTCGAATTTAAAGAATATGAGACGTGGCTTAAATTTGATATATGGCTCAAATATTGTTGGTTCCAAACTTAAAATTGTATTCAATGTTTTAATATTAAAGCCAGCGATCAATTGAAACCGGTTTCGGCGGATTTGAGATCCGGCTCAAACTCATTAAATTCGGACTGTTAATAATAAAAAAATGATTATTTTTCTACTGTGGTTTCTCTAAAAAGGAGTGTTGCGCATTTCCAACACAGGAAAACAGGAATTATGAGAATCAAACCCCTTTAATCCTTGAAAACCGGAAATATCCTTCACATTATTGATCAGATACAGGTTTCAACGATACCGTTGTGAATCGGGCATTGCCACCTTTGTGTGGCAAATCACTTGAAATTTTGAGTACAGTCCCTTTAAGAATTCTCCTGACCGCCGTTTCAAAACCATGATCACTCCCTTTTGTTCAGAATGGTTTACGACGGTGTTAGAGAAGTGAGAAGAATTGTTAGTATTTATAATTCAGAAGGTGAGAAAATAACAAAAACTAAAATATAAAAACAAAAACATATTTTACATTTTCTTATAAAAATTGTTTCTTCCTTGAATTTCTTTTTCTATTCTGTTAATCCTAATGCTATATTTAATCCTTAATCCTTCTCCTTCTCTCTGCATTTTTATATTCATATCTTAATCTAATACACGTTTCTGTATAAACCTATTCCATTTTTATATTTATATCTTGATCTGATAATACTAGTTTCTGTATAAACCTATTCCATTTTTATTCGCTTAAATTATAATTCTTTAACTTCTTTTCAATTTTAATTTCAAATTTTACATTTCTAAATCCGAATTCTGATTATTGTGCGTTAGCGTTCCTAATTGTATTCAATTATTTTCTCCTAATCCTATTCCCTGTACACATCCTGTATCCCTAATTCTCCTGGATCTCCTGTATCTTCTGGATCCCCTGTACATCCTGTATCCCCTGTACCTCCTTGATCTCCTGTATCTCCTGGATCCCATGTATATCCTGTATCCCCTGTATCTCCTGTATCCCCTGTATCTCCTGTATCCCCTGTATCTCCTGGATCCTCTGTATCCCCTGTATCTCCTGGATCCCCTGTATCTCCTGTATCCCCTGTATCTCCTGTATCCCCTGTATCTTCTGGGTCCCCTGCATCTCCTGTATCCCCTGTATTTCCTGTATCCCCTGTATCCCCTGTATATCCTGGATCTTCTGTATCCCCTGTATCCCCTGTATCCACTGTATTCCCTGTATCCCTTTCATCCCCTGTATCACCTGTTTCCTCTGTATCTCCTGGATCCTCTGTATCTACTGTATCTCCTGTATCACCTGTATCACTTGGATTCCCTGTATCTTTATCCCTTGTAGAGTCTGTACAGAATGCTAGCTGGGAGATGATTGAATATGATCAAGAGGAGGAGCAAAAGGTAACAATTAACTGAGAATTTAAATAAAATATTCTTTAATAAAAATAAATTTATATTTAAATTTTTTTTATTTGTTTTATATACAATGCACAATTAAAACAACTTTTTTTCCGCTATACGTGTCTCTGCCTGGTCTCTGTCAAGTGTAATCATTCAAAGCATGGAGAGCACAGACATCTGGGTGCCAACTATTTCGGCGTTTTAAGTGCATTGTATACAAAACATATAAAACATATTATGAAATATTAACTATATACAAATGCGTCGAAAAATAATCGATGACTATAGGTTGTATGTTGTAATATCTAAATGATTTGTTATAATTTAAATTGATTTTTTTACGTCGTATATTGCAACTTTCTGAAACGACAAAATGGGCACTCAACAAATTGTTGAATTCCGTACTTTCTGCGTTGGATAATTTAATTAACTAGGCTTTTAGGGCGCTTCGCTCCCATCTTCTATTTCAATTGTGTAAATTGTAAAAAAAGTTCGCGGATTCTTAAAATTTTCAGCATTTTTAGAAAATAAAAAACTTTTAAACACAAACTTTTAAAATTTTAATCATTAATAAACCTTTCCTGGGGTCACGCGAGGGGCCACACAAAATTTGGACCCGATCAGTTTAGCCGTTTGACGTTTACTGGATACTGGACAGACAAACACACAAGCGAAGTATGTATATAGAAAATATTGTTTACTTGCAGGAGGAGATGAAAGAAAAGCCAAGTATCCGTGATGCAGTCAACAAAATACCGGAACAAGAAAAATTGGAAATTGCAAAAGTAAGGAAAACAAAACATGTGCGGACTTTTGTACCTTCTCCATGCAAAGATGTCTCTGAGGTCTCGAATGATCGAACTCTCTCAGCCATCAAATAGTCAGAAAACGGAGTATTCAAGTTCCTCCTCATAACCAACCATAAGCTGAAAATAGTCTTTTTTTTGACCCTTGGGATGTTGAGCATTTTTGAACATCAAAGTTGACAATTTTGTAATATTTTGGAAGATATGTTACTCAAACAGGTGAACAATCCCTTTAAATTCAAGTTTATTTAAAATCAGGAGCTTGAGATAACTGATCATGTTTACTGGGTGGCAATCTGGTCAAACCCTAGAGTTAGAAACCTTCTTCAAACCTCACATATAGGGGGCAGTCAGGTTAGTTCCTTTCCCTGTATACACCTTGTTTATATCCATGTACTCCCTCCTGTTTATATCCCTGTACTACACCATGTTTATATCCCTGTACTACACCTTGTTTATATCCCTGTACTCCCTCCTGTTTATATCCCTGTACTACACCTTGTTTATATCCATGTACTCCCTCCTGTTTATATCCCTGTACTACACCATGTTTATATCCCTGTATACCTCATGTTTATATCCCAGTACTCCCCCTGTTTATATCCCTGTACTACACCTTGTTAATATCCCTGTACTCCCTCATGTTTATATCCCTATACTCCCTCGTGTTTATATCCTTGTACCCCTCCTGGTACTCCAGGTGGACGGGTTCCATGAAGAGAAGGCTGAGTTCGACAAGGAGGTGGAGAAGTGGGAGGATTCGGAGAATGATATTGTTCTTCTCGCTAAACAGATGTGCAGGTATTGGTACTGCAAAGTATATAGAATTCGATCGAAGTATGTTGATGTATACCAAAGTTTATCGAACTAAATCAAAGTATATCAAATTAAATCGAAGTATATTGAAGTATATCGAAGTATATCGACGTATATCAAAGTATATCAAAGTATATCAAAGTATATCAAAGTATATCAAAGTATATAGAAGTATATCAAAGTATGACAAAGTATATCAAAGTATATCAAAGTATATCGAAGTATATCAAAGAATATTGAAATATATCAAAGTATATCAAAGTATATCAAAGTATATCAAAGTATGTCGAAGTATATCAAAGTATATCAAAGTATATAGAAGTATATCAAAGTATATTGAAATATATCAAAATATATCAAAGTATATCAAAGTATATCAAAGTATGTCGAAGTATATCAAAGTATATCAAAGTATATAGAAGTATATCAAAGTATATCAAAGTATATCAAAGTATATCACAGACCACAGTATATGGAAGTATATGGAAGTATATGGAAGTATATGGAAGTATATGGAAGTATATGGAAGTATATGGAAGTATATGGAAGTATATGAAAGTATATGAAAGTATATGGAAGTACATCGAAGTATGTTGAAGCACGTCGAAGTATATCGAAGTATATTTAGAAGTCTATTTCATTTCATATTGATTTCATATTTTTATTCAACTGCAAAGCACAAGATAATACAAATAAAAATCACAATTTACTATGTAGTTTGGGCCCGCCTAATCAGAGTTGGTTGTTTTGATTGATTGATTGGTTAAGTTTAGACTTTAGATTTTAGATTTTTTTGATCGATCATCTATCAATGATGCCAAACTATCAATGATAAAAAATACTGATTTTATATTATTCAGAATAATGATGGACATGACAGATTTCATTAAAGGAAAAGGTCCAATTAAATCAACCCAGGATATCATAACCTCTGCTAAGAAAATAAGGCAAGTATTTATAGATAGCTTTGTAAACATAGAGTAAAGATATTAATAGAGAGAATATAACTTTGTAAACATAGAGTAAAGACATTAATAAAGAGAAGATAACTTAGGAAACATAGAGTAAAGATATTAATAGAGAGAATATAACTTAGGAAACATAGAGTAAAGGTATTAATAGAGAGACAGTCAAGGTGATTTAGGGGGTTCAAGGGNGAGTAAAGATATTAATAGAGAATATTTAACTTTGTAAACATAGAGTAAAGATATAAATAGAGATAATATAACTTTGTAAACAAAGAGTAAAGATACGAATAGAGAGAATATAAATTTGTAAACAAAGAGTAAAGATACGAATAGAGAGAATATAAATTTGTAAACATAGAGTAAAGATATAAATAGAGAGAATATAAATTTGTAAACATAGAGTAAAGATATCAATAGAGAGAATATAGCTTTGTAAACATAGAGTAAAGATACGAATAGAGAGAATATAACTTTGTAAACATAGAGTAAAGATACGAATAGAGAGAATATAATTAACTTTGTAAACATAGAGTAAAGATATAAATAGAGAGAATATAAATTTGTAAGCATAGAGTAAATAACTAAAGGAGACATTGCTAATCTCTATATTTGTCTGTTTTTCAGTGAGCATGGTAAGAAGCTGGATACACTTGCTAGAAGGATTGCAGATATGTGTCCTGAGTCTTCAACAAAGGTTTGTAACTATACATATATGATATTGATAGTGTACTTAATACATCTAGTACATGATACAGTACTTGATTCAGCCAAAGTATTTTTCTAAGCATAGTAAAGTACAGTACAGAAGGGTAAAGTACAGTACAGTGCTGTAAATAGTACTTTAGAATGACCTGCTAGCCTACCTACAGAGGATTGCACTGTACTGCCATCAGCTCAATATTACCAGGTAAACAACGCTTGCAGTACACTGTAAAAATATCTGAAAATCTACTTATTCAAATAAGTTTTAGATATCAAGTTTTTTCCATTTCCTTTAATATTGACCTTATAAAGAAAAATCTGAGAATTCATAATTTTTGTGACGATAATTTTGAACAATTTGTTAAGTAAAGTGAAAGCTGATGTACATAACGTTTCTGGAGAGTTTATAGTCTCAGGATTAGGTGATAGTACTAATAATAATACTCATAATAATAATAATTTTAATAANTTATAGAGATAATAATAATAATATTATTTATAATAATAATTTTTATATTGACGATGATGATATACTATAATGTGTTATTTTAATAAAATGAATAATAAAAATAATAAGAATGAAAATAATGAATAATTGTAATAATGACGATGATATAATAACAATAACAATATTACTCTAGATTCTGCCTGTTCTCTGATCCAGGCTGCTAGGAACCTGATGAATGCTGTTGTGTTGACCGTAAAGGCGAGCTACGTAGCGAGCAGGATGTACCGATCAAACCAGGTAAATAATAGATACAGGTAACCAGGTAGTTAAAATAGATGGAGATGACCGCCAAGTAGTGTCACTCCAATTTCTAAGACTCTATTTTCAGCTAGATAAATACGATATCTCTGTCATCTCAGACAAAGGTTTAATGGTTTTTTTTAATATTTGATTTCTTTTTATTGCCAGAGTGTGTAACCTATAGGTTGCACGATTATAACTTCAATGTTTTAAAAAAACATTGTGGCAGATGAAGATATTTAGACAATTTTAAGGTTCTAATAATATTTGAGCAAAAAAACATCATATCTCAGGATTAATTATAAGCTTAAAAGAAACCAAAAGATTGCCAAGGTTAGAGGTATTTTACAGATTATATTCTTTAATGGATGCCAAACTGTGTTTCAAGAATAGAATTATTCAGAAATTTTATTGTATATAATTTCCAAAGAGAATAGAATATATATTCTCTTTGATAATTTCCTTAGAAAAGCTGCCGGTTCATTTGGTGTACTGTTACCAAAGAGAATTCAATATATATTAGAGGGGAAGTTAGGGAATCTCTCGGTGTGAATTTTTTCAGTCCCTTTCAGCCTTAAAGGAAGTTCAAAGTGTACAGATCATGTAAATGTTCACAAATTATATGCAGTAGAGTACATTAATACAGTATGTTCCTTAGACTATCCATTTCAATTTCGAATTTTTTAAAGCTGTTAAATAAACTTTATAATGAATTAGGTGAAAAAAACATCATTTGAGTTATAATTATAACGAAAAATCATCGTTTGTAAAGTGGAAGGCATAGAGTCTATGTGAAATAATCATTGGTCAATTATGAAACCAGCCTATTTCATAATTTGGTTTTCTTTTAATATTAATTTGAGATTTTCTATAAAATGATATTCCAGGGCCCAAAAGGTTACATAGCATAAATATGTAAAGTACACCTGCAGTATGGAAACAGTACAACAAAATGGCCGTTTTACACTTTTTTCTAGTAAATTCCCCTCTAATATATTTTCTATTCTCTTTGACTATTACGTTTTGCTTGGTATAATCTGTATGTGTACTGCACAGCTCCCTCTAGCTGGTTAGATGTCGGCCCGGTGTTTTAAATGAACCGGACTATAACTGTGCCCTTATTAATCCTTGACCTGGTGGGCACCTGCAGGGTTTAGATGAGATATGGACACCCCGCCCCCTCTTCACACCTTGATTCTTTTGTTTAAACATTGGGACAAGTAAATATACGCTGCAGGGGGCGACCACAGTGCCCGCGGGACAAATTAAAGTATCCTGAGGCATACTAGGGTAGCCGGGGGGCATAACTAACTCGCCTAGGGCGGGATTTAAACCCTCAGGTTGTGATTAAGGATACAGGGTTAAGTGAAGTTGACATAAGTCAACGTTTAGTGACAGAGCATCAATCTAGATTCAGAGATAATACTCTAATCCATCAGACACTCTCAACCAAACCCCTGGGTCGGGCCGGGGGAGGGGGGGAATGTTTAATAAACACTGAACATTGAACAATAAACAATCCACAATTTAGTTCAGTTTATATTTCTCCTGAAAATGTTCAAAAGGCAAGACAAATAAAACGTGTAAATCATTCATTTACGCATTTAATCTTTTTTAGATTTTCATCAACTTAATCATTTACAATCTAGTATTTAAACACTTATTTAGTTATTTTCAAACCTAAAATTTGTTATTGATCTAACCTAATTTAAAGTTGAAAAATTGTTAGTTGAAACCTGTGACCGAAACATTTTCATTATGATTTTAGTTATTTATCAATTTAAGCTATTATTTTAAAATTGAAAATTAAGAATTTTTTAAATTTTTTAGAATTTTTGTTACCTCATGTCAAATGTTTCTTTGTTTATACTTTTGCTTCTTTTATTTAAAAATGGATTTAGATTACAATATCAGACATTTATCGTCGTATATATCAATACAATAAAGACGACTTTCTATTTCAATTTTGATGTTTACCAAGCTTTCTAGTAACAGCAGATATATTTCGACAAAAATAAGTTGTCAATTAACAGATTCTCTTTTTTAACTTGTAATTGAAAAAATGCTTGTTATGGGATTAAAGCATTATTGATAAAAAAGACTTCATTGGATCGATATAATCCCCGACTCTAGTAACTTTTTCTTATTCTTAATGATTTTTCTATATTTTCAACTGAAAAATAAACAATAAACTGTGTAAATGTTAACGTTTTAAAATGTCGTCTTGTGAAGTACCCTTATCGCATTGAAAATCATAGTGTGCCAAAAATCATGAAAAAAAGTTTCCCAAAATTTCCCCCTCTTTCGAACTAATAGTTTAAAATCATTAAACCTTGTTCAAACCAATGGAATTAGTTTTTGCCACAAACTAAAAATTTCTAATAAATATATACAGGGTGTCCCACGAAACATGACAATAGGAAGACGACTTGAAAGTCGTCTTTGGTATTTGAATTTATTTGTGACATTTAGTCTTCTATCTACTTTAACATGTATGATTCTTGAAACAATTATCACATAATTCTCCTAGCCCTGGCATTTCCAAAAAGTGGTCTGCGTTTTTTGTGCTTTCAATATTACCTGAGATATAAAGAGTTTGGTTCAGATTTCAATTTTGTTAAATAAAAGCAAAATTGTCGAAATCTGAAAGAAATTCTTCATATCTCGGGCAATATTGAAAGCACAAAAAAGGCAGACCACATTTTGGAAATGGCAGGACAAGGGAAATTTTGTGATTATTATCTCTGGAAATTTACTGACAAATAAACGCAGCAAATTATATCAAAAATCAAGACGACATTCAAGTCGTCCTGCATACTGTCATATTTCGTGGGACACCCTGTAGTAGCTTGAACAATTTTACCGGAAAAATAAATTTTCAATATTAAAGTCGACACACTTAACTTAGAATCTCAAAATCAAACTTAAAAACCAAATCAAAATTTTAGGCAAATCGGTCCAGGGGTTCTTAAGTTATAATCGGACAGACAAGTAGAGTTTACAACTTTTTATTTATTGATATGTATTTGCAATCTGATATTTTGACCTTAGCTTAGATTATTTGATCGGACAGAGTTGATAGTTAGCTATGCTACATTAGGTTGAAAAGATCATGCAAAAAACCCAAAGTTTATGACAAAGACTCAAGTCCTTGGAAATTCAACATCTTTTTGAATCACAAACTCTGCATTGATTTTTTAGCATTAATGACGACCTTTTATACTCCTACTTATTTCCTTATATTTATGAATCCATTGGAGTATAAATTAGAGACTATATAATTAGTCATTATTTATGTTTTAACTAAATGATAAACACAAACATTTGAAGGATTCGAACCTTACCCTAAGATAATCTTATTTTTAACAAAATGTTTATGAAAAGTTCATGAATTTAGTTTTGGTCATGTACTGTAATTGTACACAAAAATATTGCATATTCTTCTACCCTTTAATAGATCTTTGAACTGAACTCTCATATATCCATGGTTATATAACTTTACTAATCTCAGATACAGTCCGGAGCTGCTCTTTCTCAAATAGTAGTTTGGAAAATGAAAACCCCGGAGAAACTTCCGCTAGTTAAACGTGAACTTCCAGAGGTAATTTTCCTACTCCTACTCCTACTCCTACTCTCACTCTACTACTCCTACTCCTACTCCTACTCCTCACTTATAAATCATTTAAATGAATATAAAGCTTTTCTGTTAAATTGCAATGTCTATGATTTACAATTATTCTTTTAAAATCTTTTAGACAGAACTTGAAGTGAACCTCCACGAAATAGAGTGGCATATCATATTCACATCAGTGCCCCTTTAAACCTTTATCTGATGAACAATGAGAGAGATACCGTCGTTTTTTCTTCATTGTCTCTGTTGCAGAAATCCAAAAGCAACATCTACAGAGAAACTCCAATTTAGAATGATAAATTTTCAACTGGACAAACTAGCATTATCTCATTTATGCATAATTAGGTTANAATCCAATCAATAATCCATTCAATCCAATCAATAATCCATTCAATCCAATCAATAATCCATTCATTCAAATCAATAATCCATACAATCCAATCAATAATCCAAACAATCCAATCAATAATCCATTCAATCCAATCTATAATCATTCAGTATCACTACAATTTGAATATAAGTTGAATGTTGTAAAAATCTTGGTTAAAATGCTCCTAATGTATAAATTTATATTAAATAAAACCAGTTTATTATATGAAAGGTATTTATGTTACCTTTATTTGACAAGAAATGCCCATATAATTGTTTGTCTTGAAATGTTCATATGTTTCATGGAAACACTCAAGGTGTTTCATCTGCCTATGTTAGTAGTTCAGATGGTTTTGACAATTTCTCGACAATAAATTGTACATGTAATATTTTGATAAATATAATTATAAAGTGTAATTCCTAAGCTAAATGAGGAAAGAGTGCTATAATTTGATAAAGTGGGGGGAAAATAAGAAAATATAGATTTTTATGATTATATATTTGTCTTATATGTTAGTTTATCGGACACCTGGAAAGTCTGGGCGCGCGGCCAGGCCACTATAGATGTAAATAGCCCCAAAATCAATATTGGGGTAGTGTGTCATTTTTTCTCTGTTTCTAATTTGCGCCGCGCATAAAAACATCAAAATGAGACTTGATAAAAAATTCGGACCATATTTTTTTTCTGTGCGTATATGCGTTTTTAAGTGCAAAGATTCAACTCTCTCAAAAACTTTTAATTTTATTTGTCAAATCGTGTTTCTGTGCGCAGCGTATAAAAACATCAAAATGTCACTTTAAACAAAAATTCGTATACCATATCTTTTTTCTGCGCGTCTATGCGTTTTCAAGTGCAAAGATTCGACTCTTTCAAAAAAATTTTCTTTTTATTTGTCAAAATCTTAACTTAATTGCATAAAATTTCGCTCATAAAGTACGAGCAAACTAAATTCAATAAAATCTGATTTTTTAAATATCGGTCATTTCTATACAATTTCGAATAAAATCCTGCATGTCATATTTTCTACTATTAATAGGACGATGGTTAGTGACATAAATATAAATATCTAGCTATCATCAGACATTAATCTAATGCTTTAGAATTTTACAAATTCATAAGGGAACTAAAAATGAATTTAAGATTTTAATTTATTAACAAATACAAAGTTAATTATTATTATTTTTATTGATGAAATATGTTTTGTTTATAATTAGTACTTCTCAACCCGTTTTATCATCTCATCAAGTCTTTTGTTATTCCTGAAAACAAAATATTATAAAAAGGTATGCTGCATAATGTACTGTCAGAGGCGTATTCAGGGGGGGGGGGGCTATTGGGGCTAAGCCCCCCTTGGACCAGTGAAATCTATTGATTTTAGGGGGTTTTCATGCCTCAATGGGTGCTGAGCCCCCCCTGGAAAGAAAAAAAATTAAATTCACCCCCCTGGACAAATTCTTGAATACACCCCTGTGTACTGTCACTGTATATGCAATATGCATAAAGTCGTACTACCCAGTCTGGACTACACAAGTGTATAGAGTCGACCCATTACGTTCTATGGAACACATGAAGCCTGCCTATCTTAAAAAGCTATGAATTGAAAATAATCAATTTTTAAATTTAAAAACAAATATATCTCATTCGTTCTTAATCATTGGGCATGCCATGCCATACATGAATTTAAAATTGAGTCTACTTTAGCCATTTCTTTAAAAATGACACAAACTGCCTGAACAAAAGGTTTAATGGTCGGTGTTTATATCAATACAATGAAAACGACTTTTCTATTAAGTTTTGATTTGTAACAAGCTTTTTTTTCAAATTACAAGTTTACAAATAAATAATAAGATACGTTTTTGATTGACAGTTTCTCTTTGTTCCCATGATCATGTGTATTGCATCCATGCTGTTTAAATTTGAAATTCGTCTTCATTGAAATTATATTTACGAAGACGACTGTATAACTGGTTTAAAGTTAACCTGAGAAATGTATTTACGAAGACGACTGTATGACTGGTATAAAGTTAACCTGAGAAATGTATTTACGAAGACGACTGTATAACTGGTATAAAGTTAACCTGAGAAATGTATTTGAGAATGATTTATCTGAATGGTATATCTCCTGGTCCAAGGGAGGACTAGAGTACAAATATTCAAACCGTTTCATTTCAGTCTCCTCTCTCCTACAATATATTCCATATATATTAGACCGGGGAGGGAAGGAAACCTCCACTGCACAGCTTCCGAACCTCATTTTACCTATTTGCGGCAGTGCTCGTCCCCATAGGGCTTCCGAACCCCCCCAAACAGTCTTCTGGGAATGATCTACCGTTTTAAATCGTAAATTTATGCTTGAAACAAGCCTAATTCGATTATTTATTTAGATTAGGATTTTCATTGTATATTTTTTTATATTTTATAAATTTCATTTATAAATTTTTTTCTTAACAAATCTTGGAATGCCTGCGCTTTTACTAAAAGGTAGACCAAAAAAAATATTCTTCATAAAATGTTGATTCTGAAAAACCATTGACCTTCTAAAAAATTCTTTCTAATTGAGATATTTAAAGAAATCAAAACTCTGATTTTAAAACTAATGATTTTAAAACTATCGATGCCTATTTTTTACAAGCTTTACAGACTTCAAATACATATAGCTGGAACCATAATTACAATTCCTTTAATTAAAGGATTACCCAAATTGCCTTTTATTGTTGTTTATTACATTATTTTGCAGGTAAACTAACTTAATATTTGCGTGCAGTTAGGTTTAAGTTATCACGTATAACGAGGGAGGGAACCCCCGTACGCCATGAGCCTCCGCTATGCAGACATAAGCCTCCCAGAGTTGCTAGGTAGACCAAGCCTCCGCTTTGCAGAAATGAGCATGTGCAACACATCAAAATGTGCCTGTGTAATACAGGAGGTTTTTTTAAACTTGTGTTTTAAGTTTAAATAATATTTTTTTTTGAAATTTTTAGACATAGTAGCATGAGAGGCTTTTCAAAGATGAGAAGTATTTATTAATTATCATAAATAGTGCCTAATTATCACAAATAAAGTGGTATCTAAATTTTTAAACATTTTTTACACAAAAAGAAAAATATTTACAAAAAATTTGAAATGAATTTCATTTCATCTTTTATAATCTTTGATTTTAGCGATACCTTTTTTTAAAGTTCAAAATAAATCTAAAAAAATTGTATTTATTATTTAAATCTTAACATTTTTCAAAAAAAGGTATTGTTTAAATCAAAGATTACAACAAAACAAACCAAATTTACTCCGGAAATATTTCTCCAAATATCTTCCTTTATGCGTAAGAAATGCTTAAGTTTTAATATAAATCTTATAAACCACTTTATGAGTCCATATATGTTACTAATCATGACAATCAATGAACAAAAAAAATTGTTAAAAGTTTTTATCCCTCATAAAAACTAAGATTTAAAAAAAGCTGTGCTGTATGGTGGAGGCTTGTTTACTGAAAGCGGAGGCACGGTCTGCATAGTGTAGGCTTTGTCTGCATAGTGGAGGCTCAGTCTGCCTAGCCAATACGGGAGGCTTGATGTCTGCATAGCAGAGGCTCATGGCGTCCGGGGGTTCCCTCCCTATTATAACAGAAAATCATGTAATAATGAGGAGTAAATCATGTAATAATGAGGAGTAAATCATGTAATAATGAGGAGTAAATTGAAAAAAATCTATAAAAATATTTAGAAAATTTGATTTTCAGAACAAAATCTGACGCCCCACCCGTATTGAACATGACAAGGGGGGAAGGCAAGCATTACTTGTAAATCCTCCATCCCACAATTGACTCACAAACATAGAGTTGATGCACTCCGCTTAACTGTATTCCTTCCTGCCCGCACTCATATGTCTTCCGGAAAAAAATCTTTGATTATTTGCGCCTAAAAAATACTGTGTACACACTGCTGATGTTGATCTTCTCTAAAAATGTTTTACTAGAAATTGATAAAACTATCTAGATCTATCAATCACATGCAAAAATACATTTTTTCTGGTAAAGATTGAATTTCTCCTAACCTTCAAACCCATTTTTAGAGAAGATATCCATCAGCAGATATGCACACAATATTGTTTTAGAATGAAATAAGCATTTAAAAGTAAAGACATTTAGCTGGAAGACATATGGGTGAGGACAGGAAGCAATATCGGTAAGTGCCGCGTCTCTATGTTTGTGAGTCAATTACATGAAGAAGGCTTTACGGGTTTGGCTTGCCTTCCCTCCTCATGTGACATTACAGTTTGATTTATTGAATACTTGTGACCAGAAGGTAAGGCAAAAAAACCTGTTTGGAGATCTGGCTCTACCAGCAATTGCGACCACTTCTATAGGAAGCACAGTCTCACTGCAAGCCCCGCCACGTGGCCGAATCAAGATGGTCAAATTCCTGGAAAGTGATAAAAAGACTTGAACATTCTGCAGTACACAATCCATTTTACTGTTTGCCTAATTATGTATATTATCAATATATTAGCTTTGACGTGACAATAATGAAAAATATTATTCATCCTACTTAATTTTTATTTTTCATGTTTCATTGATCTAACCATTATAAACCATTATAAAAATATTCATAGATATTTGAAAACTTTGTGTTCCATTCCACTGAATTTTTTTCTTCTCCAAAATATAAGTCATTGCTTGTTTAATAAATTTTAACAATTTTGAATAGTTTATAACTTTGAACTTATACTCTGGAAAGAAACTAATATTTTAAATAGTTTCAAGTTGGAGAGATTGTCAAGTTAAATTTAGCAATATTTCAGATGAGGAGGAATGAACTGTTGAAAAGATAATCTTTAACTACCATTTGTCAGATACAGGTACAGAATATGAAGTCAATTTGACAATTGCCTTAGGAATGCATTTTTTTTCTTCTGGAATATCAACTTCATCAATTTGAATAATAAATTTATCAATGTGGTTTGATTTAAAACGATTACAGCTTAGAGATTATCGGGTTACTTTTTTTATTCGGCTCCATGCCCCATGGACCAGCAGGATCATAAAGTTTTAAGGTTTTGATCATTCAATTTGATTTCTTGATGGGAAAGCAGTGAACCAGGGGGTGCCCAGTTGAACAAACCTCATTCATTAACCTTCATCTCTATTTATTCTTATCTTATTGAGTAGCAAGGAAAAGTTGTTGAACTTTTTTGCACTGGTTCAATAATAGTTCTAGAATTTCATTATTTAAATTCAAATATGTCAGATTCAACCTATATTGAGTTGAGACAATTGAACCAGATCAATAAATGTTCAGCTCTAGCCTTTTACAGATTATACCTTGTATTACTCAAGTTTGTTTTGGGGAACTGAAGCTGCTTGTTTCCACCGGAATATGCTGACTTGGACCCAAGCTGTGGAGTTGTCTCTTTCATTGCCCTGCATTGAAATGTATCAAACAATTCTATATTTTGAAAAACATAAAAAAGTTATAAAACATTACCTTTCCATACTGTGACTCCTTTGACGAAGATAGGAATATGAGGAAGGATTTATTCTAAAATTAGAAATATTCAAAAAAAGATTTTTTTCATTTCTTCCCTAAGTCTTCATGAAAAGGTAAAAATAAATAATACTTATGAGGTCATCAAAATGAACTTCTTTTTAAATGTCCCATTAAATTTAAAAAGAATTATTGAGAAACTACCATAAATACATTCATGATAAAATGCTGTGGGTATAATCCTTCATATCTCTTCTTAAGATTAATTTATATTTAAACTTTACTACAGATTTGAGAAGAACTCAGTATTAAAAAACCAAGATTGAGCAGAATAACAAAGCATGATTGCACACACACAATATATTTACATTATAACTATACAAACAATTGATGTTGGACTAGTGGCGAATATATTTCCATTGGACTCTTCTCTTCAGATACTTTGTGCTCACCAAGGAGATATTGAATAGAAGGAGGGGGCCATAGGGTTTCTGTACACTTTGCTGTGACTTTTTTGGACTGCTGAAGAGCTAGTTTTTGCGTAACAACATGTAAACAAACATGAGTTAGTAAACTGTGAATCTTGTTGAAAAAAAGTGATAGATAGATATATTTGTGATATTGTTTACAATCTTTATTGTTTTTACGCAAAAACTAGTTCTTCATCAGTCCAAAATCGTCACAGCAAAGTGTGCGGAAACCCTATCGCCTCCTCCTTCTTTTCAACATCTCCTTGGTGCTCACTAACTAGTCCTAGGGGACCCTCGGGATAAGATGGCCGACAATCTGCTTCCTCTGCTGCTGATAAATGCCATTATCTCCTTTCACCAGCATCAATCTTGCCCTAGCTGCCCCTTACACAGGACCACCTTGCTGCTTCCAATTAAGAAAGGGGGTTCCATACCCTTTTCTCCCTACACAGTTATGTATTTAAGGTTGCACCCATACCCACAGTTGGATATCCTGTTGGACTGGGTCTGGATTGTTTGGTCTTATGTTTAGATTGCATTTGTTATGTGCATCATTTCTCCGACTGGGAGTAATGAACTTATATGAGATTACGTTCTTAGGGGAATGAACCCTTGGTGGGTTTAAATTACTTTAAAGAATGAAAAAAGAAAATATAACAGAATCCAATAATTGTTATACTAGTGTTGTGATTTTTTTCTCATTTAAACTCATGCACAGAACCAATGTAATTAAGGAGACTGAAGGAAACCTGGAATCCGTAATTGTCGCGTCTTTACTTTTATAATCATCATCAAACCTAAATAAAACATTTTGTGAAATCGGTAAATTGGATACGGGATGTAATTATATCTTAATGTTCAAAAATTATGTTTGTGATTGCTTAGCGCATATAGATCTTTAAAGACTGGAGAGAAGATTATCAAGTTAAAATTTTATGTTTAGAATACCACCAAATACTTTTAAAGTTACTCTAAAACAAAAATGAGAAAAATTTACTTTCACTAATCAATGTTTAAATAAAAAGACATCATAAAGATTAAAGGGAAAGCAATCAATATTGTAAATGAATTGTTAGATAATGTATAACATTTTTCTATAAACAATCATGAATTATTTAGTTTCTTTTTAATCTGAGCTGTCCAAAACTGGAATTTCAAAACAAGCAATTTACAGGATCACTTTTTGGCATAATCTAGGATCCCCTGTGGAATAAGTCACCTTGCAGTTGGAAAAACAGATGTAGCTCTTGTTCTTTGAGGTAGAGGTGGTAAACGCCCTGGAATAAGATAAGAATTACAAGCAGTTTTATTATGCATTGAATGTAGTTTGAAAAGTTAGTATCAATTTCTTTTTCATAAATATTTAAGTAAAAAGCTTTCCAGAGTGCTCACATCTGTTAAAATAAACAAACCCATAAAAAACCTGTTCTTGAACTACAATAATTGAAAAAATTGACAAAGCTTCTCTCACCTTTATCTACAGTTCTGCCAGCAGTGCTGTTGTTAGACCTTCTTGAGTTTCCAGTCTAAAAATCAAACCCTGTCAGAATAGATAACAAAGGTTAAACGTGATGCCTTTTTAATCAAAAGCACTTTAAAGAACTTAGAACTCAAAAGTTTACAAGAAACTGAATAATAATACTTTTTAAATTTTACCCCAGATAACAAAATTGTTATTTGAGGTGAATGTTCAAATTTTCCGTTATTTTTAAACTTTCCGGGAGAGATAATTTCCCATAATTGGTTGCAATTTTGATTTCTTGAACATAAACTATATAAAAATGTGGCGAAAGATAATCGATGACTATAGGTTGTAATATCTGAATGATTTGTTTGAAATTAAATTGATTTTTTTACGGTCTAAGTCGTATTTTGCAATTTTCTCAATTTGTATGGCCGCTAAGTTATTCGGTTTGAGACGTCTTTAACAATTTTCTCCTTATAGACGCAACAGAGAAGTGAGATTAGTAGCAATCAAAAGCGCTTTTTATCGCATTAAGCCTATACCCCCTTTAATTTTTTCGTGAATACTCCCTTTAATGCTTACCTCCTTTACCTCTTCACCCTGACTAAATTTGCTGAAGAAGTTAATGACTTTGCAAAATACGAAAATGTGCAGAACACGCCAGGAATCAAAACAGAACTGGCAAGTAGTCTGTGTTCTTGTTCAAAGAGCAAGTGTAGATCTTTGCTAATTGTTTCAGCGTTGATACGAGCTAGTGTCTGATTGACATTGATAGCTCATGAGATCGCGCCTAGAGCATTGAATCTAATTTGGCTTTAAAGATAGATTGTGTTCTTGTTAAATTATACCATCTGAGGTTGTACCTAGATAATTGGTATAGACCAATACAGCTTTTGTACAAGCCTGAGAGTTAGTTCTATGTTATTGGATGCTTGTGTCCCTGTGTGGCAGTTGGAGCCGGTCCTTGTTAAATAAAGAGTCTAAGCTTGAGTCCTATATTATTGAATGCTTGTGTCCCTGTGTAACATTAAGAGCCAGTCCTGGTTGAATATAGAGTATCTCATTTGTCCTATATTATTGGATGCTTGTGTCCCTGTGTGGCATTTAGAGCCGGTCCAGGTTGAATATAAAGTCTGAGATTTGTTCTATGATATTGGACACTTGTGTCCCTTTGTGGCAATTATAGCTGGTCCTGTTTGATTGTGTTAACTGATAGACCTGGATAGATATGTCTCAAGTAAATTGTTGTGGAGTAGGTATTTGCTACAAACCTAGTTTTTTGTAGCCGACAAAATCATTAATAATAGTGATAATTTTTTAATAAAGTGCTTATCTTACAGTAAAATAAGTGCAATTTTATGTGTCCTTTAATTTCTGTTTTACACTATTTTATTTATTCTTGGAAAACAAATTTGTTTTCCTTGATATATTTGACACTTGTGACGTCATGTATAATTGATCCATTTCTCTGTTGTCACCTATTGTACTTGATATTCTATTTGCTTCTCACATAGACATAGAGACTATGCGGTTCATCTGTAGAAAGTCAAAATTAAGATCATGAATTTTCCAAAAAAAAGAACAATAAGTACTCCCCCCCCTTAAAAAAATCCTTCTCCCATCTCCTGGCCACCCACCCCCCACACCATCTGGCTCCAAGGCCCACTAAAATATATTCTCCCAACCCCTGGCAGTCCGTCCCCCCGTTCCACACTACTCAAAAAACATTCCTTCTTCCCCACCCCCTGGTAGAAAGTTTATAAAAGAAAGATAGAATTAAAAGAGAGTTAAAGAATAAAACAGCCCCCCCCCCTCCAGTCTCCCCCCTGGTAGAAAGTTGATAAAAGAAAGATAGAAACAAAAGAGAGTTAAAGATTAAAACAACCCCCACTCCCCCCGGGTAGAAAGTTTATAAAAAAGATACAAATAAAGAAAAGTTAATGAAAAAACTCTATTTGTTTGTGTGTTTGAGAGAAAATTTGGAGTAACCATGACATTCAAAAGGTCACACCAGAGAAGAGATGGAGAGAATAGATGCTCTTGTCTTGCCATTGAGACGCCAACCCGTTTAGAGTCAGGATTGACTCCTAAGTTCAAACACCATACAGACTAAGATATAAAATGAACTTAGATACTAATCAAACTTTAATCAACACCAATAATGATAACACAAATGCTTTTCATCTATATACATTTTTCATGTTCTCTTACATGTTTATCATACTCTTTGTATCAAACATCAGTGTTGGTACAATACGCACTTACAGAAGGTCTCTCCCTTACTTGAGGATCAACATCATTCTAATCTTAAACTCCTACCTGGCTGAAACCTTCAATGCTGTGGTTACAGTTGTGGTAATTATGATTTATGATTTTAATTTAACAATGAAAACTTTTATTTAGGCAGAAATGATTTGACCAAATCTTAAACCCAACATTTTAATATAAAAAATTTGAAATGTATGTTAGGATCACATGAAAATGGCAAACAATTTTAAAATTTAGTAGTTAAAGTGTAGTTTGATATTTTTTCCTCTAAATTCAATTCAAAAAACTTTAGGCATATTTTGTTTGAAAATGATAAAATAATTAGTTGTTTGAAATCAGGCTTCTTTGAATTTCAAATGAATATGTGCATGACATGATGTTTCTTAAACTTGGGTTTATGGAATCTGCATCAGAATAATATATATCTAAAATATGAGTTTTTGAGTGCAACACAGAAATTCCATATATCAACAAATCTATCAAAAATCATTGGCTTGAAACTTCTCATTTCTCAATATGAAAATTTATTTGGTGTACATTTTATGTCTATTTATTATTAGTAATTTTTTTATTTGGAACTGAAATTACCATACTTGATAGAGAAAGAAGCAGTCCCATGAAAGAACTTTTCAAAATTAGACTTGAACTTATCTAAATTTTCAGTTCCTGTTTCTGTCTGTCCATTGTTAGACTTTTTCTATTAAATCAAAAAAACTTGAAAGTTAAAGCTGTTTGGAAATCATCTTAGTTAATCTTAAAAGTCTATTTTGAATTTTTGTTCCTTGTAATCTATGTTGTTTGGACCACATCAAAAAAAATATCTATTCATTCCTAACAAAAAATCAATGCAGAGCTGTGGGACAATGCTAAGCCTGATCACATTCCTGCCATACTGGATTGCTCTGACAGTTGAGTTACTGGTCAGCTACAACTTACATTTGGCTTTAGGACTTTCTATTGAAATTGCAGTTTGCAGGCTTCTTATGATTATAAAAGTAAGTATCACGGTTAGAAAGGGTTTAATTTGAAAACCAGCGAGCCCCAAATTTGAACCAATTTTCACCTGGTAAATGAAGATTTGTTGTATTTGCTATTTTGTACTTTTTTTTGGACTACCTAGTACCTATTCTAAATATTAAAGTGTAAAAAATATTTTATGCTATGCTTGACTAAATTAGAGATCAAAATATGACTGAAAATATTTCAATCCAGTCAGAATGTACTTTGTTGGTTTTGAATAAGTTTTTATTAAGTTGCTCCTGCCAATAATGACTCCCCTGTAATAAGTTAATTATAAAGTTTTATTTTGTGATAAGATTTATTAAATGGATACACTGTATTTCAGCCAGCTTGTTAAGAAGTTCCAAAGATTGTTTTTTCTTCACGTTTTGGAAAATTTATTCTGAAAAATGTTTGAAAAGAAAAATATTATTGAATGCCTATTTTATATTTCAGCTAGTTTATAGATTCCTAGTACTGTTATCCAATTAAAAAGAGAGGAATAGTCTGCACCTAACAATAATTCTGGGCAAAAAATTTTAAGTATCACCACAATTAGCATATTTATTGAAAAAAACATTAATAAGTGTTTGTCTATCATTTTTATTTGATTTTAGTCTGTTTATTGTAAAAAGAATTAGAATTTCAACTTTTATGTATTATTGCAGTAGTATTTAGCAAGGGCGGCTTCAGGATTTAAGAGAGGGGGGGGGGGGAAAAATAACACATTTGCGTGCAGCGGGAACCCTTTTTTAACCCTTCCCTGATATCTTAAGAAAAATGTTGCTAAATAGTTCTATTTAAACCCTACAAAACCCTACAAAATTATAATTTGCATTACGTTGAAGTACAGTGTAGACAAATGTCTTAAATATCCATTTATTTATTTCATTAGGGGAGGAAGATCAACCACAATAATTTCTAGTCAGAGCCACATTCTCCTCATTTTCTCGTCCAAGCCACCTTGCAATCTGGTCATTTAATTATTATGTGTTTGGAAGTTTTCAATTCTCAAAGATGAAATGTTTTTAAAAATATGGCCACGTTAGGGCATACAATATGGATGGACTGAAGTATTGCAATGATTAAATCAAGTTGAAATCTTCAAAGCCATGAGAATGATGTCAAACTTTATTTTGGTAATACTTAAATCTCTTATGCCTCTGTAATGCCTAACCTTAATGATATAAAATAAATAGAAAAATATTTGACATACCTCTACCTATCATTTTCCCCATGGAACCACCTGGAAATTTTTTTCAGTTTTCATTGTAATTAACAAAAAAGATTAAAGTTCTATGAACTCAGAATTATTTGTGGCATTAAATACCAGGAATAACTGACAATGCGGGTAAAAAAGGTAAAAAATTTCATAGACTTGAAAACTTTAATTCAATTAAAATTTTATTTTGATTTACAAAAATTGGATATTCCATTTATGCCCTAATGTGACCCAATTCTTTTAAAATAGTTATATCTGGCAGGATTAGACACTTAAAAAATATTGTTGAAAGGACAAGGATTTTGAGGTGGCTTGGACAAGAAAAGCAGGAGAATGTTGCTTGGACGAGAAAGTGTTGTGGTTGGCCTTCCTTCCCTCATCTCATAACAATATAAAAAAATATGGATTGAAATTTATACAAAAACATTATAAATATCATATCTTATTACTCAAATGAAGGGAGAATTATATTTTATTTCCTACTATTATCAGTGATGTTTTAGTAAATAATGCTTCTTAATTATCATGCAAGTAGTTTTTATGTTTGCTATGGCTGAAAGTAAATTTTTTTTCTTTTCAAAATGTCAAAAAAGAATTAAAATTAACCTCCCATCTTCCAAACTACGATAATTTTCATTTCTTGGGCTGCTTGAAATAGAGGCATTTAAAACACCATTGTCCAAAATTGAGGCAAGCCTCTTCGGGTGCATCACCTATTCCGGATTGACCAACCTGTCAGTGGTCATTGATGACCTGTATCAGGTCAAAAGTCTTCAAAGTAATGACTTTATAAAAATGCAGGGGGGTGTACCCCCCCTAATTTCTCTCAGGGGGGGGGTAATGGACTACCACCCCCCCTCTTGTAGCCACTTATGATACCTAAATCAGTTTTATGGTCCATTTTTCATTGGGCAGAAAAAAATTTACCAATTTTTTAGTTTGACAAAATGATTGAGTTTGAACCAGAGAAATTTGGTCATAATTTGCTGACTGCTCTACTCTTCCTGACTGCACTGATCCTTGCATACCCAGCATATTATACCCTCTCAAGAGGTTGGTTCATTCTTAACCCAACATAGGAAAAAGAAAATTGTGGTGAAAAATCATCCATAATAACATCTAAAATTGCAAAATTATGTCCATCTCCCTTTGAATTTTTTAAAGATAATAATTATTTCTCTCAATGAAAGAGACATTTTTTCTGATGTCAAAATCGCAAAAAGAATATTCCAATAAATTCTGTAATGCTGTAGATTTTCAAATTCAGAACTCAGAAATCTATACACCATCTGAAATCTTTCAAATAGATGCAAAACAGGATATTTATTATCATTCAATAAACAACCTTTTATCTACAGAATTATATTACAGAACTATGATCAATATAAATAAATAAATAACTAACAATATAAAATTGAGAAAGCAATCATTGTATTTATATATTAAGATTTATTTAACCACTTTCTTTTCTTGTATTGGCTACAATTTTGTAATTGTGCCAGAGTTAAAAATTGCAGAAATTTTGTTCAAAACAAGGATTTCTCTGTCCATTTTGCTTAAAGACACAAACTTATCATTAAGGAAATAAGTACTTATAATAACAAACTCAAAGTTTCTAACCCCAATATAATACTGTTAACCTTTGATATTTCAAATATAGATTATTTGATCTCGCAGAATTCATAATTTGAAATATCTAAGGTCTATGATGTTGGATTAAATGATATAGGGATTAGAAAATCAGAGTTTGTGACAAAGACTCAGTTCCTTTCCATGATAGTTGTTTTGTGACATTTTAGGTGAAGTTGGGGTCGTAATTGGACATTTCACTGGATTAGACATTTCTGCAGCTGTTGGGGCATATCAGATAAGTTTCGCAATACTATTGGCTGTTACTGTTGTTACAACAGTTGGGTCGTATCTCTATGGAAAATACTACTTGAAGAAGCATCATGCTACCAACAGGAAACCAATGAAAAATAGTTTGATTTTAAGTTCATATTTTTAACATGTATTGAAGGATTTTTTTGTAACTAAAGCCATATACTGATGTTTTCAAAAATATAATATAATTAAATCTCAAAAGGCATCAAGAAATGTAGTTGCATACCAGTATGGCCAGTCTCTTTCTAACAACTTGAAATCCATGAAACACAAAAATGAAAATAATTTATCTTCATGAATTTTATTGGATAATTTGCTAGTGTGCTATCTGAGAATGCAGAGGCCGGCAAGAATATGATCAGCATGAAGTCAATCATCAAAATCATCATCAGTCTTTCCCTTTTTTTTCTCACATTACTTGGACTATTTATAGAGGGGGGACACATTGATATTGCTTTGATTATTTTTGTAACATTATTAACCATTTATCTTATCAAATATGTTCGATCCCCAAAAATCAAAGTTTACTTCCTTCACAAAATGTCCCAGATGAAGACTAACTTAAATGAAAAATTTGTTGCCTTTAAATGTTCAATCCTAAAGCTAAAAAAGAACACAGTTGGTGTTCAAAATATGATTCAAGAAGCGTAATCATTTTTTTGGTGGGGAAAATCTGTTTGCTTTGTTTTCTTTATTCTTAATGTTGCTCTATCTATAAGTATCTAATTTTTATAAGTATATAAAAAATATAATCTAATTAATGTATGTATTTACTGAATGTATTGTATTAATGGCGTACCCTTAAAAAAATTCTTTGTATGATATTTTACTTTCAAATTAAAGTAATAAAAGATTGTTTCATAATTTACCAATAGTTTGTGAATGTAGTATAAGCCAATATCTAAATGATTTAAGATCATTTTTGAACTAACGTTCCAGAAACTCTGTGAATGGTTGTGAACAATTTTAGATGATGATTTTTGGGCCGTGTCCGACCCCCCCCCCCAAAAAAAATGGGCCCTTACACAATTAATATTGTAAAATATTTACCTGTTTTACGATTGAGTCAAGCTTGACAGATTTTGATAGGAATGTTGGCGGGAACACCCTGTCACTGTAGAAACTCATTCTAATAACAATAAAAGTGTCTTCTTTAGTTTCTTATTCAATTGAGAGACTAGTTAGACATGGTAGTTGATCTGAGAATACAGTACTGTACAGAAATATTTCAGGATCCGTTTGAGACCTATGAGACGTTTTTAAGGTGCATAATTGTTCAGCAAGAACAAACATTTTAAATCTTTAAAATCCTCCTGAATTGTCCATTTCGGAGAGATAATTTTGAATATTGGTTGTTTTAAAATTATTTAATAATGACGTTTAAAAATGTATAAAAATTCTACTCAAATGGATCTATAAAATCTTCTCTACAATGCTGCACTCTCAGCTCAACTACCATGTCTAGCCAGTCTCTACCTATATTGTCAGATGACAATTGTATCCAGAAAATATTAATCAAAGGTCGTCTTCAAGAATGCAGTTAAATTCAAGTGTCCCTCCATTGATAGAGTGGCATGCTTGATTTACAATGTTACCCTTGATTGCTTTGTCAGATCAAGAATTAAATTCACAATTTCTTTTTAAAAATGGTAATTTTTAATTGCGGTTTCTCTATAAAAGTGCCTTTACAGTTGAGGAAATTATGAGAAACAATCACCTTTTATGCCCAAAGAATGACAATAATTTTAACATTAATGATCAGATACAGGCTTGACGAGCACTGTTGTGAATTAGACATGGCACTTTTTGTCTGGATGGTCACTTGTAATTCATTTAAAGAGATAACATTATTAAACTTAATATGCAGTAAAATCCCTAGATTAGTAAAATCCCTAGATTAGAAAGTGTAAACCTGTATTGGCAAAGGTTCATCTAAAACTGATGATTCTGAGAAATAATTTCAATATTTAATATATTGATTTGACCGCCTTAGTACAGGATTCAATATTGATATTTGAACAAGGTTGTTAATCCTTAAAAAGGGGCATTTTTAATCTCATTCTTCTCTAAAAATTTTCTTTTTGAAATCTTCTGCATCTGGGTTTCTAAAACAATCAATAAGTTGATAGTAGTGATATGTGACAAAAATCACAGTTGTAATAAACAGAAAGAGGTTGCCAATATATAAAGATATTTTGACAATATATAATATATTATAAAGATATTTTGACAATATATAAGATATTATAAAGATATTTTGACAATATATAAGATATTATAAAGATATTTTGACAATATATAAGATATTATAAAGATATGTTGACAATATATAAGATATTATGATTTTTGTTCTTCTTACAATTTTAATTTTTTTTTCAATCTTCAAATTTAGGGTTTGACACGTTCAAACTTTTTTTAAATCCTTTGTTAACAGCCTAACTCGTTCAAAAGACAAACTTTTAAGATTTGGCTGTTTGTTGAAATTTGATTTGAACGATCTGATAAGTTAACGGTATTTTATGTTCTGTTTTGAATTTACAGTTTGTTCATGATCTCAATATTATTATTGACATAAATGGAAGATATATTATAAATTGTTTAATATAAAGATATTTTGAAACATATCTATACGTTATTCTTTCTTCATGAGCGGGTTTTCCGTTTGTTAATGATTTTAAAATTAACGGGTTTGTCATTTATTAACAGAATCTTTTGTTTACTCCAAAATCTTGGTGTTCGTAAACGGAAAAGTGCCCAGTAATTTGTCCATTTATTCAACAGTAAAGTTTGGAAAGTTTTTTTTTTATAAAAAGAATAGTTAATCATTTTGTAAATTTATTTATTTTCAAAAAAAAACTATACTAATCATATAAATCTGATAGTGTCAGATAGCGTCTGCTGCAGGAATATTTTAGTTATAAATACAGGAAAAACTGTGTCCGATATCTCCGATATGGGATGTTAGAAAAGCTGATAAATTGACCACCACTTAGCAACTGTGTTCAGTTAACCCGGAAAATTTCAAATTTTCTTCTTTTACACCTGATAAACAAAAAATCAATATTTAACTAAAAATATGAGATATCAGTATTTCTGAGTCTACAATTTAGTTCAATGTTTGCAGCAAATTTTGAAAATCCTTTGATTGCAATTAAAAACATTCATTTAAAACTTTCAATTTGATCATACATTGATCTTTAATGCGGAACAAAAAGTTTAAAATAAACAAAGTTTTTAAGCATTTAGAGACCCAATACAGCATTAAAACTGTTTTATTTGATACATCAAATTATAGCTTTAAAGGATAAGACTTCAGAGACGACTGTACAGTATTTATAATGTTTGTTTACTTGAAGAGTTTCAATTCGCCTTTACAGTCTCATCCTTTTTGAGAATCCCTGTACATAAACATAAACATATTTGTTGACTAGTGCATTTGGCCATTTTGTAAAGCTTTAGAAGAGTTTTATCTTGGCTTAGATTTATTAGTGTCCCCCGGTGGTCAATGTACTTTAAAATATGCAGGAGTAATTTATTATATTTGAATTTGTTTAAATTTTCCTCGATCTATGGCTGTCCCAAAACTATGTTCTAGCATTAAAATCATTAATAACAATTTTAATGTCCTGTCAGATGTAGTAAGCATATGCATATATCACCTGCTTGAGGGGGGGGGGGCTACAAAAATGCTCTCGTACGCCCCTGGGATATTGCGTTTATTTTTAAGTTTACAGTTTACAGTTTACAGTTTACAGTTTACAGTATACAGTTAACAGTTTACAGTTTACAGTTTACAGTTTACAGTATACAGTTTACAGTTTACAGTTTACAGTTTACAGTTTACAGTTTACAGTTTACAGTTTACAGTTTACAGTTTACAGTTTACAGTTTACAGTTTACAGTTTACAGTTTACAGTTTACAGTTTACAATATACAGTTTACAGTTTACAGTTTACAGTTTACAGTTTACAGTTTACAGTTTACAGTTTACAGTATACAGTTTACAGTTTACAGTTTACAGTATACAGTTTACAGTTTACAGTATACAGTTTACAGTTTACAGTTTAAAGTTTACAGTTTACAGTATACAGTTACAGTTTACAGTTTACAGTTTACAGTTTACAGTTTACAGTATACAGTATACAGTTTACAGTATACAGTTTACAGTTTACAGTTTACAGTATACAGTTTACAGTTTACAGTTTACAGTTTACAGTGTACAGTATATACAGTTTACAGTATACAGTTTACAGTTTACAGTTTACAGTTTACAGTTTACAGTATACAGTTTACAGTTTACAGTTTACAGTTTACAGTTTACAGTTTACAGTTTACAGTATACAGTATACAGTTTACAGTATACAGTTTACAGTTTACAGTTTACTGTATAGTTTTGTATGGTAGCATATAAAGATTTAGAAGAATGTTTTATTTTATCGAAAGTTATTCATTCTAACTTAATGTGCTTTTTAGGTAACTTATTTTGGACACTCCTTCCATATTTTAGGAAGGTAAAGTACATTGTTAATCTAAACCCACCTCCCCTCCTTCTCCCTTCCTTCTATTCATGTTTTATGCTAATTCTAATAATGGCAACCCGTTACAGGGATTCCTTTAAACTTCTTTGGAATATATAAGTTTAACATCGTGAATAGTTACTAGGTTAGAACTTATCATATCATATAAGCAAAAACGAGGAGGGGGGGGAAGCAATTTTGAGTTTACACCATAAACCTCTTATTCGAGACAAATAAGGCTCGGTTGCTTGAGTTTGATTATTGGTCGTTAGAATCTATTTATGTATATCTAGAGTATCTTGAATCCGTTGTAATTTTGTGTAAAAAAGCTATATAATATATTTGTTTATTTTTTGAATATTTAGCCGTTAGCCTGAAGAAAGACAACATTCTGAATATATTGCAGATTTACAGGATCCATTCAAGGATAAATATATGAACGGGAAAAGTAATTATAAATTGAAATCATTATAAATCAAAGCAAGCTACGACTGATACAATGTTTGTAAATGAAAAGATTATCAAAATATTTTCCTTTTGTTCATTCTCACCATATTACACAAGACAAATGCTTTTTAATAGGAGTATTGTGACAAAAACCAGTCAACCCCCCCCCCCTGACTGTGTGTGTGTGGGGGGGGGGGGATAATGAAATTTCAAAAGAAAAAAACGGGAAACTCGGAGATCATGTGTGTTTGGTGCATTTATCAGTTAGATCTTTGCTATAATTGATTCCAGTCGAAATTAAAAGTCGTCTTCATTTAACCCCACGCTTATTAAAACTCTTTCAAGGAAAATGTATGTCATTGTAAGATGGACATCGTTTTTAACGAAAGAAATTTTTCGCGAAAAAGATTGTCGTTCAGAAGAAAAAAGAATGATGGACGAACGAAATGGATAGTTCGGAGAAATGTAAAAATGATCGCTTTTTAAAAACTATTGTTTTTTACTGAAGGAACAATTTTTTGAAGAAAAAAACTAATTTACTAAAAAACGATTTTTTCGAAAAACTAAAAAAACTATAGTTTTTCTTAACAAACTCGAACAATATTATGGGATGAACGAAATCATTTTTTAAATGTTTAAAAATAAAAAACGAACGAATTGAGTCGTTCAAGAACGATGAACGAACGAAATGAAATCTAGGACACTCTGTATAATTTCAAGTGAGCCTCTATGCAAAGGTAGCCGGTGCAAAGGTGCAAAGGTGGCCGGTTAACAAAGGTACCATTAAAGCGTTGTTTGACTAATTAAATTTCGAAAATTCTGACAGATGGACATTTTTAATTTTTGAAGTTACTTTCTAGCGTAGAAAAACATTTAGAAATTATCGCAATTAATCAATTTTAAATCTAGAAAAACGACGATTTCTTCAACATTATTGACCAGAGAATCAGGCTTTGGCGTCTTTGCCATGGGTATGGCTGGACGATCACTCGATATTTCGCTCATAGTCCCTTTAAGAGCTATTTTGGTATAAGTACAATACAGTCCCTTTAAGAGCTATTTTGGTATAGATACAATACAGTCCCTTTAAGAGCTATGTTGGTATAAGTACAATACAGTCCCTTTAAGAGCTATTTTGGTATAGATACAATACAGTCCCTTTAAGAGCTATTTTGGTATAGATACAATATAGTCCCTTTAAGAGCTATTTTGGTATAGATACAATACAGTCCCTTTAAGAGCTATTTTGGTATAAGTACAATACAGTCCCTTTAAGAGCTATTTTGGTATAAGTACAATACAGTCCCTTTAAGAGCTATTTTGGTATAAGTACAATACAGTCCCTTTAAGAGCTATTTTGGTATAGATACAATATAGTCCCTTTAAGAGCTATTTTGGTATAAGTACAATATAGTCCCTTTAAGAGCTATTTTGGTATAGATACAATATAGTCCCTTTAAGAGCTATGTTGGTATAAGTACAATATAGTCCCTTTAAGAGCTATTTTCTAATTTATATACAATATAGTCCCTTTAAGAGCTATTTTCTAATTTATATACAATATAGTCCCTTTAAGAGCTATTTTCTAATTTATATACAATATAGTCCCTTTAAGAGCTATTTTCTAATTTATATACAATATAGTCCCTTTAAGAGCTATTTTCTAATTTATATACAATATAGTCCCTTTAAGAGCTATTTTCTAATTTATATACAATATAGTCCCTTTAAGAGCTATTTTCTAATTTATATACAATATAGTCCCTTTAAGAGCTATTTTCTAATTTATATACAATATAGTCCCTTTAAGAGCTATTTTCTAATTTATATACAATATAGTCCCTTTAAGAGCTATTTTCTAATTTATATACAATATAGTCCCTTTAAGAGCTATTTTCTAATTTATATACAATATAGTCCCTTTAAGAGCTATTTTCTAATTTATATACAATATAGTCCCTTTAAGAGCTATTTTCTAATTTATATACAATATAGTCCCTTTAAGAGCTATTTTCTAATTTATATACAATATAGTCCCTTTAAGAGCTATTTTCTAATTTATATACAATATAGTCCCTTTAAGAGCTATTTTCTAATTTATATACAATATAATCCCTTTAAGAACCATATTTGCATCTGTACAATCCAGTCCCTTTAAGAGCTATTACTTAGCATATATACAATATGAGGGAAGAGCTTTATTCTATAGAAAATCAAACTTTCAGAGATTATATTTTGTTCCGCTATGTGTTCGAAATATATGATAATAATAATAATATTGAAAGATTAACAAAATCTCATGTTCTCTTAGAGCCTCTTTAACAACCTGGATCTGGAATCTACAAAAATGCAACAAAATCATATCATATTCATATATTTGATCTAATTTGATTTAATTGGGAAACTTTTTTGAAAGATTTCTTAGAAGAGAGGGGGGGGGGGCTACACACCCTGAAGAAGTCTAGAGTGGAGTATCGCACCCCTTGCTAAGGGTGCCCCTGAAAAAAAATCCCAGATGTGCAATCCATATTTAGGAAGCATAAGGGTAAAACTAGCTCGAGTACGAAATTTTAGCATTTAAAAACAATATTCCTAAATGGCCCAGCCATTTTAATGTTTTTCCCGCCATTTTCGGCCTTTTTTAAATGGATTTTTTTTGTGGGAATCTTTTTCATGGGCACCCTACCCTTGCTCCCCTCTGAATAAGCTTCTGCAGTCAAACTAAATTTATGTTCAGTTTTTATTGTGTCATAAAATTAGCTATTATCATTTCATTTCATTTTATCTCTTTTTTTACTTTCTTAACTTTATCTTTGCAGGGTTTTCAGTCAGTAGGAAACTTTTTATGACGACAAAACCATCTCCTTAAGGCTCTGCTACAGAAAACTTTAAATATACTTAGAAAAACAAAAATAAAATGATGCTTAGCAATTTCTCAAGTTATCCTAACTTTTTAAAAATTTTTAGGGGGGGGTCTTATCAGCCGCTTGGGCTTCAAACCCACTTTGGAAATTACAGATTTCAATTATATCTCCCCGCCCTTTTTACATATAAGTTCGTACACTGCGCTCTGGATGATGTTGAAATGTTATTTCTTGGTTTTAAATGTCCATTTGTTGGTATAATTTACCTTTTTTCTCCGAGGTTCTTTCTGATTTCTATACTTTAGTTATTGCATCTTTATAGTCTGGATAGTAAACTGTATAGTGTTAAATTTATCAGGGTTTATACAATATAGTCCCAAAAATACTACAGTGAAACCCTTAATAACGAATACATCGGAAGAATTTATCAAATGTCGTCTTGACAATTTTTCAACGAGTTTCATACTATATTACGTAAATTTCAGTATTTGCGAAAATAAAAAAAATAGCCATGAATATGCGGGAACAGTTTTAAAGAGTTCTTTATAATCATTTAATTAAAAAACTAAATATCTGCAACATTCCATTATCAGAAAGTGAAGAATACGACATTTGATCAATTCTTTCGATGTATTCATTATTAAGGGTTTCACTGTACTAACTTCAGAGACAACGAACGAATTTATAAAATGCTGGATTGCTAATTATCTCTATATTCACACTTTTCATTTTCTGCTAATCCTCTCTTTTGGATATCCCTACCATCTTCGAACCAATATGAGTTATCATTTATGGATCATTTATTGCCCGCCCAAATTTTGAAATATCATGGATCCTAATTAGCTGTTCAGTTTCTACAATCGACACCTGAATTGTTTCGGTATGGCCAATTTTCCGGATATGAACTAAATTAGTCTTTAGATTAATAAATAGAGGAGATCAAGTATTGATCTCGAAATCCACTTTACTTAATTTTTCAGTTCAAATCATATAATTTAGTAATATTTTTTTTCCATCTAAAATTTTTAATTTTTTTTGAAACATTTATTTCTGTAAAATTGTACATTTTATTACAAATTCCAACATTTAAAAATAAATAAATACTATACATAAAATAATGCATTGAATTGCATAACAGCCTCCCCCCCAACAGTAAACGATTAACATATATATGTATATTATTGTAAATATCTATATATATCAAACACATCACATTGAATTTTCGATTTATATTGTGGGACAACAATTAAATTTTATATACCTCAGTGATCACATTATCTTCCCGGTTAACAAACATTACTTTATTGTCCCGACTAATCAACTTTTTGTATCCGATTAACAATATAATAGACCGATTACCACTTTAATAGATCCGAAAAAGTATTAATTAAGTATGAAATATGAATCTTTCAACCAAATAAAATCTAATAATTAGACAAATACTTCTCATACAATTTTATAGTAAGTATTTAAAGTATTTAAAGACATTCACTTTGGGTACAGAACTGGATGAAACATATGCAGCTGCTACCCAACAAACAGAACAATTTTATAGTAAGTATTTAAAGTATTTAAAGACATTCACTTTGGGTACAGAACTGGATGAAACATATACAGCTGCTACCCAACAAACAGAACTGGATGAAACATATACAGCTGCTACCCAACAAACATAACTGGATGAAACAAATATAGCTGCTACCCAACAAACAGAACTGGATGAAACATATACAGCTGCTACCCAGCAAACAGAACTGGATAAAAAAACTACAGGGTTACCTATACAAAGGATGAGACTGTGAAGACGACACAAAAACTCTTAAAAATATGACGATGTAAAGCTTGATTTATGGGTTCTGCATTCAATGACAAATATTGATGGTTTACTAAATGATTAAGAACTATACATTTACGCCCTGGATGCAAGAAAACGAACTGAAAAAATTCCGTACAATCGTCTCTGAAGTCTCATCCTTTGTGAGTAACCCTGTAATTGTTAAAGTGGAATTAAAATCTGAAATAGTCGTGCCAAAAACTAAGTGTCAACGCTGAATTTTTAGATGTTAGGCACTTTCCCAACGGCTTTTTCCCAAGCGGCAACTTCCCAAGTGTATTTTCCCAAGTGGTAACTTCTCAAATGAACAACTTCCCAAGTCTGTCCTAGCCGCAATGATTGGCCCCTTATCCTGTTATAGCCGCAGCACTCGGCCCCCTAGCCCATCTTTAGCCTAACATAACCTTTGGAAAGTTGCCACTTGGGAAATTGTCACTTGGGAAATCAACCTCGGGAATTCGCAAGAGGGCAGCAGGACTTCAAACTGGTTGAAAAGCCTCTGTTAACACCCAATTGACATGACTATTGCAGAGCTTCACTCCACTTTGAAACTCGACTAAAATTTCTGGATGGCAAGAGTGGAAATAAAACCAATTTATCTTGAGTTGATCTCTGTTTGCTGAGTAAGAGGGACTGTATAAAATAGACAAGTCAAGTGAGCGTGAACCTCCATGTTTTTAGAGTAGCATATCCTCACAACAGCGGCGGTCAACTTTAATCCTTAACAACTTCAAGGATGGCTGAGCATTTCTAATTTTTCTGACTGAAAATGAATTGCTTGGAGACATTTTTTTACAAAAAGAAAAAATGGATATATTCAAAAACTCATTTTTAATTTTTCATTTTTTTTAGCAAAACCAAAGGATTACAGAGAACCGTTGTGAATCGGGCTACTTTGTGAATAAGAGGGAACTTAAAACGATGTTTATAGGTACTCCCAAGGAATTTTTCCCAAGAGGCAACTTCCCAAATGTGCAATTTCCAAGCGGCAACTCCCCAAGTCTGTCCTAGCCGCAGCGGTCGGCCCCAAGCCCGTTCTAGGCATGGTGCTCGGCCCCCTAGCCCATCCTAGCCGCAGCGATCGGACACCTTTACAGCCTGAGGCGCCTCAGTGTGCCTAACCTAGCCTTTGGGAAGTTGCCGCTTGGGAAATTGCACATTTGGGAAATATTCTCTTGGGAAGTCGTACATGGGAAAATGTCTTTGGGAAAGTACCTAACACCCTTAAAACTTTCTACGACTACAGTCTCTTTAAGAGTTGAGTTTTGAACAAATAGAGTAGAGGAGGAATTTACTAAATCTTGTCTTTTTTCATTTTTCTATCTACCACCCCCCCCCCCTGCATCCCCTCCGCCTCAATCCTTGAACAGTTATTGTTCATCAGCTATTTCGAGAAATGGATAATTGGTTCCAGTATAATGAAAGACAATAATGGTGCAGAGGATGAAATTACAAAAGGATTAAAAAATAACATTTCACGAAAGTAAAAATAGAAAAGACTACAACTTTGATACAATACAATTGATGAGTTGTGAAAAAGTTTTTTTTGTTCTTTATTGTTATTTTTAGATATAAATTTGGCTTTTTTACATTTTGATAAACGTGTTCAAAAAATTTGAGCATTGGGTACACTTACATACATGTACATTATTGCAAATAAAAACACTATAAACAAATTTATCTTTATGCTCTGGAAAATACTTCAAACTAAAACTGATTTAAAATCGATAAACGCTCTCAGCCTGACTGACCCGTGACATCTCAACCTCGAAATCAGCTGAATTTCTCGCGGATTTTTTAGAACAAAAGAATAGTTTTTCTATGATTGTAGTGAATGCCCTTTTAAAGTCCTGGTTCGTCATCACATAGATAAACGGGTTCAATGTTGAGTTGAAATAGCCTGAAAAGATAATTACTTTTATTTTATATTTTAATAATTGTATAAAAAATTAATAGTATTTCTACATTACATTGCATCTTATTCCAAATCTAATATTTCTTAGTGCACTATGAAGAAGTTTCGTTATACTGTGGACACATGGAAATTTAAAAAAACTAATTATTTAATCACGTTAGTTAGAAATAAGGGTTCAAACGAAAATTTCGCAAAAAATTGGGGAAATTTTCGTTTTTTTTCGGGAAATTTAGCAGTTTTGCATTATTTTGCGGAATTGGTTTTTTTCGCATGGTTTTTTTTTCTCACGAAAGTCCACATCGTTTCACCCCCTTTGGCTAATTTTTATCAAAATTTACTGAGATTCGATCAAAATTTGCTAAGATTCGATCAAAATTTATTAAGATTTTATCAAAATTTGCTAAGATCGATCAAAATTTTTGATAGGAAAAAATGAGTTGTTGGGTGAAAAGTATTGAGAAGAGAGTAAAAATACTAACTTTACTTTGAAATATTACATATATATCCCTGGGTATGGGATAAACAACGTACCGATCCAGAAGAGAATGCTGACCACTACATCAGGACAGGGACAAGCTGACCCGCATATAGTGATAGTTAGATACCACAGGAAGAAAGGGAGCCAACACAATAGAAAAGCTCCCATTACAACTCCTAGTGTTACAAACGCCTGATCAAAAAAAGAAATATTCTCATTTATTCTAGAGACAACTTTAATGAGGGTGAAAAAGATTTTTTTTAAAGATTTTAAAGAAATTATCAGAATTAAACACTTTTGAGTCAGAAAAACGACGGTATCTTCCCCATCTTTCATGCAGGGTCACTTACAGTCCCTTTAAATTAAATTTTAAATATTTTCGTCAATATATTAGCATGTTGTAAATCTAACATTATAAATTAAGCCAAACCAATCTAAGGTTTATGTTTTATGGTCAGAACTTATTGTTAATTCCTTTCAGCTTTATTTTTTGTGTAGTTAGACGGATAATTTTGGAATATTCGGAAAGGTTAGAGAAAAAAAAATTACAAAATATTTGTTAACGGGAGTTAAATAATGAATCAACTGTTGTTCACGGAATGAGTTGAGGCTGAGAGGCAAGTTTACCAGTTTAGTAGATTTCTTAAATTTTTCATTCACTAATTCCGACCTTAGATTATTTATTTAATTATTTTGTGTAAGAAAGAAATGTAAACGTTGTGGCGTACATAAACATATTCGAAATTATTCTATTCATGTTCCCCCTCCCCAACAACAAAAAAAACACAGAAACGAACCAAGATTTTATCTGGGGTGGTTTGGTTTTACACTGTCCTCAAGTACATTACATATTCATTCATATTCATTGTCTTTTTTTCGGGAAAAATTACCTTAAAAAACATCAATAAATTATAAAATGGAAAACAAGAATAAATTAAATAAACAGTTTTGCTTTTTTTTCTGAAGAAAAGTAAAGAATGAGAATCTGCACAAGCGAGGGAAACATTAGTGTTGCTAAAATTCTGCAAAATTATTCTAGACATGCACTTAATACATTCTCTATCTCTGGGAGCCAGGTACAGGGTATCCCAATAAAGGTCGGGTAACAGTTCGCCCAATCACATTTCACCTAATCACGTTTCACCCAAAACGTTTCACCCAATTTAAGGTAAATAACGTTTCATCCAATTTACGTTTTACCCAATTCACGTTTCACCCATTTCACGTTTCACCCAAACTACACTTACAAAAGAGTTTCATCCGATATTTTTTTAATCGTCTAAAACACATTGCACATGAATTTATTGCCTGATTTCCGATCATAACTCATAAACCCTTGGACCGATTTGCCTCAAATTCTGACTGTGGATTTCGGGAGAATGTTCTTAGATTGGTTAACAATTCTAATCTGAGTGGGTTGACTTATATATACAAACAAAGCTGAGTTCCCGATCTAGTGATATATTTTAATGCGAATTGTTGTAAATCCGCAACTTTTTTGTTCGAAATCTGCAAACTACATAATTGAGCTCAACATGGTGGCGCAGTTAAATGTAGCTAATTACATAAATGTTCAATAATTTGCTGTCTCTCACATTATTTTGGGTTAGGTTAGGCTAAGAAAATTTCCGGGCCGACGCTGTGGCTAGGATGGGCTAGGGAGCCGGGCACTGCGGCCTCTTAAATGTAGAATAATGTGCTGTCTATCACATTATTTTGGGTAATATTAGGTTAAGACAATTTCTGTGCCGAGCGCTGCGGCAAGGAATGGGCTAGGGGGCTTTTCCTAGATAAATTAGAATTGATTGTTCATATCGTCTTCACCAAGCCTGTTTAGGGTTAAAAGCTAAAATAGTTAATGGGTGAGGCTTAGTTTTTATTAAACTTCTTTAAATAAATTAGTAAACAAATACTCTACAGATTGACCCCGAGAAGTAAAACGTATTCAATTTGACCTCTTCAAATGACAAGTTCATGATGTACAAGGGGTTGTACAATTTTCAGCTTTACAGTCTGCAGAGTCTGCATGAACAATCTATTCTAATTTATCTAGGGGGCTATTGTTAATGTTTGAACTCCGAAAGGATGCCTAACTTGCATACTAGAATAGAATATCAACTGTATCCTTATGTGAAGCACACAAATTTTATAAATTGAAACATATAAGTTTTATAAATTCAAAATTAAATTGGCAATAGATTTTTTTTGGGGGGGGGAGTGAAACTCTTCAGTAAGTCACTAAGTGTAGTGCAGGCGAAACATGAGTTGGGTGAAACGTAGAATTGGGTGAGACGTAGATTTGAATGAAACGTGATATTGGGTGAAACGTTAATGGGTTAAACGTTTTGGGTAAAATGTAATTGGGTGAAACGTAACTTTGTAAATCGTGATTTGGCGAACTGTTACCACACTCCAATAAACATGGGAATTGAGAGACTCTTGAATATTGTCTTTAATATCGATGATTGAAAAATGACAAAGTGCATCAAAAAAATACTCAAAGTGTAATAAGCTTTCAAAAATGCGGTCTACCTTTTTTGTATCTTTAAGATTTATTTTATTTAAATTTTTGTAAATACACTGGAACCTGAAAAAAATTACTGGAATCTCTGTCAATTTTGAAGGTAAAAAATGGTAGACCACATTTCGGAAATCCCGATTCTATTAATTTTCGGTTTTAAATGTGATACTGAAAAAGTAGGTTTACTAAATAATCTGACATTTAAAAAATCCGATATAGAAGTCGTCATTCAATTTCCATGTGTATTGGGGACACCCTGTAGAAACCAGTGCAGTTTAAATCAGAAGAGAAGGAAGGTGGGACTGTCGGAAAATTGTGAAACAAAACTAAATATTTCACAAATTGGCATATTTTTTATAATTATTTTTTTAGTAAATATGTAAAATAACGATATTAGTTTTTAAAAAACTCCCCTTTTAAACTACTAAAATTTCTATTCCATTTTCTAGCTGTATCATTTTTCTTTCTGAATTTAATTTTATATATCTCTCCAGAATTGCAAATTTCCTTGTTAATATTTAAAAAGTCGCCTTTGAATAAATTTAGCATATTTCTGTTTCCTTGTGTTCTTTTCTCCAGGCCGCAGGCTTTATCGTTCTTTTGTCTCTGCTCCCTGGACAAATATAATTAGGGGTTTAAAAACAAGATGTCAACTGGGTGGCTAATCTACACATTTTGGGATTTTTTTCTTCAATTTTTAAATTGAAAAGCTAAACAGACGTGCGGGTAGAGATTATTTTTGCATCTAATTCTGCATGAATTAAATAGTAAACTATTGAAGAAGAAAAGATGCAAAAATTTGCGAGGAAAACATTTACAGCACAATTTTGTATTATTTCAGTTATTTTATGAAAAATATATAAAAACATATTTTTTAAAAAGTTGGATTGTATATATCACATATATCATCTAAGATATTCATTATACATTTTTTTCAGCTTAGACACTTATTTTGTTCTTTTTGGATTGCGCAAAGCTCTATAATTTGGTCTAAACAAAATATAGAGTTAGGTAAGTCTTTTGATTGCATTAAGGTTGGTTTGAAAATTCCAATATAATGTTCTGATTTTAAAATTAGTGTCTACACCAAATGAGGAAAAGTTAAGACCATAAAATTATGTAAAATCACTTCTTAAAAAATGAATTCAAAATTAAATTATTGATGATATATCAACACAATTTAAATGTAATGACGTTCTATAAACAACACTTTGTCCATTTACATTAAATTAGAATTTTGAAATCAATTATCTTTCCGAAAAGGAAGAGACTTCTCATTTGAGAGCATTTTTGTCTAATTTCTTTAATTTGCAGTTGTCTTCTGTAGCTTTACATAGTAAAAGAGGTGCAATGCAACAGTGTAAAGGTCGTTTTTAAACCTTCATCTATTGTAAATATTATCAGAGATGTAAACTCTAGTATTGTGGATATCGAGATCAACGCTTGACTTCATAATTAGGTTAATCTGCATATCCAGGAAAATACTTAAAATTAAACCAATCAGAGTGACGTTTGAGAAACCAAACACCCAATTAGAAGCTAGGAGATTTTGCGGGTTCAATCAATGAGAGAACCCAGCATGCATATCCAATAGGAAGGATTAAGCAGAAAATAAAATGTGTCTGTAGTATGTATCGAGGTTAAGAAACCCGGATTAAGGGTATGGTATCCATTAAAAAAGTTTCCAGCTCAGTTTAAATATTATTTTATTTAAATAATTTTTTTCATTCCTATTATTAATACTCTCGAGAAAGCACATTAATGTGCCACATTTCTCTTCCTGGACATATTTAAATATCCACCTAAATTATCTAATTAATTCCACAGGTCGATGTTGAAAGCCTGACGTTGACGTCAAAGCGAACTACTCCACAAAAGAAATTGTTTGCTGGGTAGTTTGAGCAACGAAAATTTTTGCAAGCAGTAAGCACACTGAGGTGGGAGGACAGGTTTCTAAAATCTAAACGTCCAGTAGTTGTTGAACAGGACACGAAATATTAAAAATTAATTTTGTATTTCTGAAAAATATTTCCTTCTGCAATTTTTGTACATTCACAAACCATGCCGTTATTCTAACATGATTTAACATAGAGTAAAATCTAAAAAAGAGTGGTACAATTATGTGGTAAATTTTAAACGTGTATATTTTTTTGCAGTAAGTTTAAAAAAAGAAAAAAGGTGCTTTATTAAGATTGGTTACACTCGATGCGTTCCAATGTACGGAAAATGTCGCTCCTTAGAATAGATAGATATTGAATCCGCATATGAGGTTACGGTCAGTTACGCTCTCCTCTATAATCAGTGACGTCATTTGTGGATTCTTTCTATCTATGCTACGGAGACGACATTTTTCGAACATTGGAGCGCATCTGCAGAGTAACCAACCTTATTAAACCACCTTGCCCCGACCCGATTAAATACAGCATAGATGCACCACAATTTTCTTGTTTTCGTAAAGCAACATTCAAGTTCAACTTGCCGAGTATCATTTTTCTCTGAACTTTCCCTCCAAATCCGCAAATCTTCTGCTTTGCTTTGGAAAACCGGAATTTTGGGGATTCCTGAGGCTTTTCGGATTCCTTAGTCTCAAGGACCACTTCTCCTGCTTTCTCAGCTGTTTCAGGGGACCCTTCTCCTGCCTTTTCAACCTCCTCTGGCCAAGGATTCTCGAAAATACGGATTGATATCTCGGGCTTTGGTTGGTTCTCACCTTTGTCTAATTGAACGGAGGAGTCGTTTTTGGTCAGTCCTCTTCCAGGTCCGATAACACGGGATCCTTAAAAATTCAAAACAATTGTGTGTAAGATTAAAGCAGTAATTTGAATGTCTCATTCCGTCTAGTTCAGTGTGAATAAACAGTAAATCATTTGTTTTGACTTTTGAGAAAGTTTTAAGGATTACAAATGTTCTTACCGTCTTGCAAAGACATCTTCTTGTTGAGATATCCTTTGGTTGAGAGAAATTTGGCATTGTGTTTCGGTTCACGTGCTAACTTGGTCTAAATTAAAGATTCAGCTAAACTTACTAGACTGGGAACCCAGTTTTACCTAAATACTAAACTTTCTTTACAAAGTCTACCCACTCCCTTAAGATTTTGTCAACAAAGCTTAATAATTCTCGTAGTTCTCTTGAGTTCTTGACTAAAAATTTGTGGCAAATCGGTTAAAGGGTTCTTGAGTTATGATCTGACATGAAAAAAAAGAAACTGCTACTTTATATACAAAGTTTTTAAGCTTCTGTGTTTAAACAAGAAGATTACTGATCTATGTTTCAAGACGACATCTCTGTTACCTGTGTAGTGATTACTATATATTTCAAGACGGCATCTCTGTTACCTGTGTAGTGATACTATATACTTCAAGACGACATCTCTGTTACCTGTGTAGTGAATACTATATATTTCAAGACGACATATCTGTTACCTGTGTAGTGAATACTATATATTTCAAGACGACATCTCTGCTACCTGTGTAGTGAATAATCTATATTTCACAACGACCGCTCTGTGACCTGTGTTGTGAATAATCTATATTTCAAGACGACATCTCAGTTACCTGTGTTGTGAATAATATATATTTCAAAACGACATATCAGTTGCCTGTGAATTGCGAATACTATATATTTCAAGACGACATCTCTGTTACCTGTGTAGTGAATAATCTATATTTTAACACGACATCTCTGTTACCTGTGTAGTGAATACTATATATTTTAATATGACATATCCGTTACCTTTGTAGTGAATACTATATATTTCAAGACGACATCTCTGTTACCTGTGTCGTGAAAAATCTATAATTTCAAGACGACATAGCAGTTACCTGTGCAGTGAATAATCTATATTTTAAGACAACATCTCTGTGACCTGTGTTGTGAATAATCTATATTTCAAGACGACATCTCTGTTACCTGTTTAGTGAATACTCTATATTTCACGACGACCGCTATGTGACCTGTGTAGTGATTGCTATATATTTCAAGACGACATATCTGTTTCCTGAGTACTGAATAACATATATTTTAAGACGCCATCTCTGTTACCTGTTTAGTGAATACTCTATATTTCACGACGACCGCTATGTGACCTGTGTAGTGAATACTATATATTTCAAGACGACATCTCTGTTACCTGTGTTGTGAATAATATATATTTCAAGACGATATCTCTGTTACCTGTGTAGTGAATAATTTATATTTTAAGACGACATCTCTGTTACCTGAGTTGTGAATAATCTATATGTCAAGACGACATCTCTGTTACCTGTGTAGTGAAAAATCTATATTTTAAGACGACATCTCTGTTACCTGTGTAGTGAATAATATATATTTCAAGACGATATCTCTGTTACCGGTGTAGTGAAAAACCTATATTTTAAGACGACATCTCTGCTACCTGTGTAGTTAATACTATATATTTCAAGACGACATCTCTGTTACCTGTGTTGTGAATAATATATATTTCAAGACGACATCTCTGTTACCTGTGTAGTGAATAATCTATATTTTAAGACGACATCTCTGTTACCTGTGTAGTGAATACTATATATTTTAAGACGACATCTCTGTTACCTGTGTAGTGAATACTATATATTTCAAGACGACATCTTTGTTACCTGTATAGTGAATACTATATATTTCATGACGACATCTCTGTTACCTGTGTAGTGATTACTATATATTTCAAGACGACATCTCTGTTACCTGTGTAGTGAATAATCTACAGGGGTTGTCCGGTGAATTAATTTTTACCACGGGAGTAGACATTCTCCTATCTCGTCGTATTCTTAAATTTGAAAAATTGAAATAAATTGTAAAATAAAATACATGACTTCAGTGAGAGTCGAAAAGAGGACATTTTATATTACTATTTTATTTCTTAAATAAAACGATGACATACCTGGAGGATTTCGGAGATTTATTAAGAGAGTATAATCGTTTGGTTCTAGGTGCTTCCCCAGCCTCATTCAACCTTGAGTAACATTGTTCATAATGTAAAAAAGCTATGTTTTCTTTTCATTCCAAAATTTAGTAAAATAATTTTTTGGAAATTTCATGATAATGGGCGCATTTTATCAGAAAAATACTCCATATTAAGATTTGGGTTTGGAAATAGAGTTGCGCCAAAATGATTTACTTCAGAGACGACTGTAGAGAATTTATTTATTATTTTACATGCACATTTGGTGCCATGCAAGGTTATAATGCAAGGAAACTTAATTGCAGTTGTGTATACTCTGCGTACATATTGAAACAAGTTCTCTCTGGGCGGAATTTGTAAATAAGAATAGATGCATCAATTTTCGTTTAGTATCCGAGGAGGTTAAAAGCATTGAATTCTGATAATTTTGATAATTCACATAATAGTTTCCTCTGACCAGAATATTCCATTGATTTTTATGTGAAAGATGAATCTCATGTCAGGCTGTGACATCCGTCTTGTGTTTACATTACCGCCCAGAGACAGTACACCGCAGTACAAAAGATGCGTACAACTCTGAAATAACTTTCCTTGCATTATAACCTTGGTTCCATGCATGTCACCCTGGTTCTTTTCTCTTAAACACATTTACAATAAGAACCAGACAATTCTGGAGATAGATAATGACTTTTAGACTCAGGTTCTGACGTAAATTAGTTCAATGAAAATGAGACACAGAATTTGTGCAGTATAGAGAAACCAAGGAGTATGAAATAGAAAGGACATACAACTGACGCGGCCCACCCTACCATAATTATACATGCTTTGCAGACGGTACTCCATTTGTATAAGACATATTTGTCTGATGTACAATTACCGCGTATACAATAACCTTTTCTGAATATTTCATATACAAATGGAGTACCGTCTGCGAAGCATGTATAATCATATGGTAGGGCGGGCCGCGTCAGTTGTATCTCCCTTCTATTTAATGCTCCTTGAGAGAAACCCATTTCACTGAAGAAATGATTTAATAACTTACAAGTAAAACTATTTGCTTTAAACAGCGTAATGTCGTTTTCCTATTCCACAATTGTCAATGTACTGCTACTATTTAAAAAAATATGAGGGCCAAGGATCAATTTTGATCTTTATATTTAAAGGGACAGACCGGCTATGTAAGGTAAAATCAAACTGAGTATGCAGTGTCTCAAATGAATCCTAAAGATTTGTCCACAACACTGCATACTGAGTTTAATTACCATACATCGCCGGCCTGTCCCTTTAAAAACTTTTAGGTTGTCATTAAAGTCTCATCCTTTGTGGATAACCCTGTATAGTATCCAAATTCTCAATCGGTAATTCCAGAATAATTGATTTTTCAGAGCAAAACATAAAAAATTTTGTAGTTTAATGAAGAAATAAAGTCAGGATTTGTTGTATATGTAATATATTGTTGCAACTAACATTTTAGAGCGCAGTTTAGATATAGATCAGCTTCACAAATCACTGAATCCTTCGTAACTTTTAGAAAAAAAAAGATAGAGAGAAGACAACAATCGGTTTACTGATTTCTGAATACTTACATACAGGTTACCCACATAGAAATAATCTTTTAATGGCTTATTTAACGATTTGGTGAAGAAAGAAACAATTTAACAGTTGCAAGGAATCATAAATATTAGAAAACATTTAGTATAAATTATGTACAGTCGTCTCTGAAGTCTCATCCTTTGTGGGTAACCCAGTAGTTAGTATAGTACTAAAAGGATACATGTTTTGTGCCCGGAAATGCTGATTTTTGGTTAAATGTAAAGTTTAGGTTTCTATGATGATTGATTCACCAATAGATATCGTTTATTGAACAAAAAGTGCGGGGGGGGGGGCGGNCTAGGGGGGCAGGAAGCGCCATGAGTTATAATACTAAGTCAAACAGTCAAAATAGCAAAGGTTTTTTGCGTTGGAAGGGTTTGATATTTTTGAGTTTATATGTACTATGTAGTTAGCATTGGGAATTCTTTTTATTCCATTTTAAACACTCAAAATGTTGACTTTTTTATCTGACTTAAATGACTTACCTTTCTGAGCTGAGTGACTTTTGTTTAAGTTTGAGAGTCGAATTACTAGTTGAGTGTTGAGTTGAGGATTGTGTACTAGGGGGGCAGGAAGCGCCATGAGTTATAATACTGAGTGAAGTTGAATTCATTACACTAAGGGAAGTGTAGAGTGAAGACGAATGTCTCCTAGAATATAAATTCGCATGAAAGGGAATTTCCGCGTAGTCTGATTCACAACGTTCAACCCTTTAAAGGGAATGTAAGTGTAATTTCAACTGCCCAATTTACAACGGTACCCTTGAAACCTTAATCTGATAAAAATGCGGAAGATATCGGCGTTTTTATGACTCGAAAAATGTTTAGTTGTGATAATTTCTCTTTTGTTTCCGTAAAGCAAGAAGTGCGCAAGTCACTTTTACAGAGAAACCACAAATGAACAGTTTTAATAAAAAAGCAAGGATATCTCACCCCGAACTAACCAGAGCGAGATGCATTTGGTTTCTTATATTTAAATTCATTCAAGTGTTGGTCCTTATATCAACAATCTATAAACTTACGGACTTGTCTTCTTTTACTTTTTCGTGTAAAACGCATATGCCGACAAAAAGTATTGAAGAGAAAAGCGAGAAAAAAATACGTTAAATGCGTCAAATTGTGTTCGAAAGTCAAGGTTGTCTGGGGGAAGGATCGAAGCGTTAAATCCGCGTGATCTAATCCGTACTTGATGAGACAAAGCTTTGTAAATGGGCTGGCGTTGGCATCTTTGCATGAATTGTCATTTGAAATTCTGTCTCCATCCTGTGATGAAAATATCTATTTTCAATGGGAAAATGGATAATTTCTTTTATGATTTCTATTTAAAAGTGATTTGCGGTTTTTGCAGCCGAGATAAAGAAGAAGATTGACGAATTGAACCCTTTCTAAAATGTAAAAAATAATAAAGGTTTAAAAAGTACCGTTCTGACTTGGGCAAATACTCAAAAGATTTTCTATTTAGAAAAATAAATACAATATTTTATTTGAATTTGTGTTTAATTGTTCTCTGGTTTATTCAAAATAAATAAACTAATAAAACAATTTTAAATGTATATAGAATTCAAGAGGTTATAAATAGTTTATTTTTATTTTGTTCTTATGAAATTTTGAATTATCTGTATAAATAATAAATATAATAGGCAATCATGATCAAATAAGGGGGGGGGTAGCACAAAGCGGAAGAAAAGATTTTATAATTTATGATGTTTAGGGATAATCTACAGGGTGAAAAAAAAAGTGTGCTTAGAGGCGTCTGATGCAAATTTCAGTTCTGCAGATCAAATTTTTAAGGAAAAGTTGTTTTTCAATGTCTCCTAAGTCCTAAGTTTTCAACTGAACAGCGTATATATTTATAACTTTAGAATATACTAAGAAGAAAGGAACTAGAAGATTTAAAGAACTTTTCTTTACAAGCTAGAACAGAACTGAACATAGCGAATTTTCTTATAATAATTTTGCATATTTTCTGTGATTCTGTTATTCAATATTTACAAAATTTTCGAATTTCGATAGGAATAATATCTATACACATTTTTACTTTTCTGTACTTTAGATTTGAGAGAAAAAAAAGTTTCGCGGATTTCATTTTTGCTATTGGAGTACCATAAAAAAAATCCAAAAAATATTGAAAAAATAGCATACAGGAGAGTAGCACAAAAAAGTGTGATTAGCAAGGTCTACTTTGCTTGTCTCTGTCTGTTCGTTCCTGTCTCCTAAACGTAAAAACGGCTAAACCGATCGGGTCCAAGTTTTGTGTGGCAACTCATAGGATAGGTTTATGGATGGTTAAAGATGAAAAGTTTTGCGCGAATAAAGATGTAGACATTTATCATTTTTTAAAATGCATGAATTTGAACAGAAAAATGGCAGCTTAACAGCGAAACTTGTTATTAAAAAAGAGCCGTTTCAAGCGCCCTGAAAGCCTAGTACCTCTACATATGTTAAAAGGAAATAAAATTAAAAGATTAAACAAAGATGACTTTCATTCCGGTTTAGTCTAGTTCAAACAACACAAAGGTGCCATGTAGGATACAGTGGTTCCCAAAAAAAGTAGTTAACGATAAGAGTTCTTACCTGATAGCTGCTTTATGCCGCTTAGCTTCTAGATATATCCTAAAACAAAGAAATCTTAAAAAAGAAATTATTTTATAAGCGTGCCCATCAGCGATTCACAGTGGTATTTCACATTAATCTCCCTTGAAGCTAGGGTCAATCCTTTGACGTACCGTCACTTTAGTTTCAGTAGAAGTAAATATTTCCATTTACTAATAGAGCAGATTTAAGGATTCATAACTCTGATTGGATAATGAGATAGATAGAAAGATAGATGTTACCGTCATACTATTTATATTGGTTCAGAAAAGACAACAAACACATGACTGAACCCTGATTGGATCAGGCACTGATGGACTCGTACTGTTTTGCCGTCTCTAGCCCATAAGTATACTGTATACAACAGGTTGTATAAAGTTATGATTTCCTTTAGGAAAATAATATTTTACCAAGTTGTAATACATAAAATCCAATATTTAAAAATATTTTTTTATCGTTTCTGAAATCTAAGTGTCCACCTACAGATATAGATCTTTTTGCCAGTGTGTGTTGTAAAGAGGTGTGAAGGGTTCTAAGCCTCCAGCTGTAGAAAACAGAGAGATATCTGCAGTAAAGCTTAAGCCAGGGGGATTAATTTTCTTAATAAATTGGGTGATATCTATAGAACTTGTGAAAACCGAACATGTTTAGCATGTTGTATTAACCTCAAGAGTCTGCTTGTCTAGATGTTTAGCATGTTGTATTAACCTCAAGAGTCTGCTTGTCTAGATGTTTAAGTATAGATTTAATAATTGCCGTAAAATAAATCTGGGTGACAGTATGATCTTTTAGTAAGTAAAAATTGTTCCATGAAAAAATCAAAAAAATTTTTTACAATTTTTATTTGATCAAAACACGTGACCAACGAGGTTATTTTCATCAATATATGTTGATATATCTTGATTTTTTTGGTTTTTGGTTGTTGGCATTGGGAACTTTATTTGTAAAAAAAACGAATACATTTTTCAGGAAGAAAAAATAATATTTTACTTCTATTTCATATTAAGCTTTTTGGAAAGATTTGAATATTTTTATAAGAAACGTTCCCACCCTTCATTAAAACGGCTGAAACGAGCAGATCTAAATGTGGGATCTCAAATGACCCAGCAGGAAAGGGCTGTCAAAAGGAAAATAAAACCACAAAAACATTTTAAAAGTTAATCCAAAATCGAAAACAGGAAAATCGGGAAATTTTTAGTTGCTTCAAAAAAATAGTAGCATGGCAAGCAAAGTTATAAAGCTAGCATTATATTGCTGACAAAATGTGGGTCAAACACAATTAATATCAGTATATTATAAAAATGAGTTGCCTATGAAAAAATGTTTAAAAGGAGTGAGCGACAATTTATGGTAGTGGAACTGAAAATGTAGTATTGTGGAGATTTTTTTAGGATTCATTTGAGTCATATAAAACGTTTTAATGATGTATAATTACTAAATTTTAGCAAAAAGTCGACTTTCAAAATCATCTAGTTTGGTGGTTACGTTTTGTGAATCGAATTTTTTAAAAATCATTAAATGACTCGACGACAAAAATGTAACAAAAATTCTTCAGTAAACTATTTAGTTGATTAGGATTAGGTTGAGAAAAAAATTATCTCTTTATCATCGAATATAAGTAATCTTATTCAGTTATTAGTTTCTGTAATCTCTCATTGTTCAAAAATATCTTTTGTAGATTTTTCGGAGTTTTTATTGAAAAGACAAGATTTGAAGAATTTGTCTAAACAAATTCGTAAAGAATAAGACCTTCAATAAAATGATGAGAAAGAAATAATTTAATCTAACATTGATTTTTTGACAAATTTCATTTGAGAAATATGTCCCTAAACATCTAATTAGTTTACTGTCGAATTTTTGTACATTTTTCGTCGTCGTTATTTAATCATTTAAAAAAGATCGAAACTCAAAACGTAAGCACCCAAATGGATGATATTGAACATCGACTTTGCGCTCAAACTCAGTATATTAAACATAAAAAAATTGTTAATTCCAAAATGAATCCTAAAAATTTCTTCACAATATACTAAATTATCAGTTCAACTATACAAATAAAATTATTTCCTTTACTCTGTACAAAGGATTCCGCAAAAAAAGCTCAAGCCAAGACTAGAGTTTAGGTTAGACACGGGTTTAGTAAAAACCAATCGACTTGGTTTTTTTTTAACTTTTCAAAGCTTGAATCTCCGAAGGCTGAAGATTTTGTAAATATTATATTTTTTGTAAATATTATATTTTTTGTAAATATTATATTTTTTGTTTAAAGTTTCGGGAATTATCTTTAGTGTAAACCCAATTGATTAAACAGAATAATAATTTGATTTTTTGAACAAAAATTTATATATAGTTAATGTCTTTTTCAGATAAAACTTTTGGACAGAAAACTAAAAATTGCTAACTTTGATTGTTTAAAAAAATATCTCTCAAACTTTTAGATTTTTTCCTGTTTTCCTTTTTGAACTATTTGCTTCATAATCCGTCTTTACTTATCCTCTCGTCTCCAGTTCACTCAAGAAAATACAAAACTCTAATCTTGAATCCAAACTTTAATCTTCAGTCCAAACTTTAATCTTCAGTCCAAACTTGAAATCTATTCTTCTCCAAGTTGTAATCCCGGAGTTTTAAACATGGATCAGTTTCAAACAAAGTTGAATTGGATTATTTATTTATGAAGCTCACAAACTTTCTAAAGATGCAACTCAACTTCAACAATTATTTTCCTTTAATGAACGTCTCCACGGCATAATAGAAGACAATTGGTTGTATTTTATCAAAAGGACTGTATGTAATTTATTAAAAAGACCCTCCATGCTAAGATGGCAATGTCTGATTTACAACGGTACCCTTGAAACTTTAATCTGATCAAAATTATGGAAGATATTGTCGTTTTCTTTACTCTCGAAAAGTGTTTATTTCTGATTTTTGATAATTTTTTCATTATTTCTAATGAGCAATAAATGCGCAAGTATTTTTTTTGGAGAAACCACAAATGAAAATAAACTTATTTAAAAAAACACACAAAAACGTGCATAGTTCTTACTCAGGGAACCCATGTTCTTACTAGATCCAATAAAGCCACAGACTACACAGACTGCTTATCTCCTTTCACAGGGTGGGCCACGTAGGCCTAAGTTGAACCGACACGACATGCTACGTTTTTACGATAGGATTTTAGAGTGCCATGTCCATCTCTCGGCCACTTTTTGAACTTAATACCCATTAAGGGGATAAGTAATTTTAAACATGAAACATAACCAATGTGAATTCAGTCTATTTCTGAAGGCTTTTTTGTTTCGTATATGAATACGGATGTTTGCTGATTGGTCGTGTACGTACTTGTACACAATAAAACATGCTGTGGAAAATATCGCATATTTTAGCTGATAATCAATCTCTGTAACTCTCTTATATTTTGATAAAGCTTTTAAGAATACCATTGTAAATCAGATATCAGCTCATAGGGTCAGAAATTACACGTAGGGTCAAATTAAGTATAAAAGTTATAAGGAAGCCGGGGAAAGAAGATCCTATTGAAGAATTTGAGGATGTAAAATTCCTCTGTTGAAGTATTTTAAGTATGATCTCAAAATTAAATTTTCGATGTTTCAAATCAATTAAATTTATACGGGGTTCATCTCCNATATTTGTGTCATGTCTCTGTGTTGGATCAACTTTAATGTTTTCTAGGCACAATATTGAAACTTACGTTGACCGAACCAAAATTTGATAGATAGATAGAATTTGATCCCCCCTCCTCCACCTTTTCTTTACATTTTTCTCAATTAAGGTTGAGATGTAAGATACTAATGTCATTTTTTAATGTAAATATTATTACGTACAGTATGAACAAAAACCAGTGGATTTTTTGGCGTCTTTCTCTAACTTTTCATTATGAAATGTAGCTACGGACTTTTTTATTGTATTCTAAAATATGCCTTGGACAATTTCAGAAATATTCAAGTTGAAACATTACGAAAACAAATTCTGAAGTAAAGGAAAGAACAAAGAAGACATTCATTCTTCAGGTTTTTGGTTTTTACTTTGGTTTGGAAAGGATTATTTTTAACACCAAGTCCGAAAGATAAAGTAACTTAGCTTTACTAGTGAGACATCATGTTCTCTTCACATTGACTTTAAAATTGACAAAACTTGACCTTTTCTTCTGGCCCAATTATATCATTTCTACCAGCCACATTACGAGGTCATATGAGTTGCCACAAAAAAGCTTGTTCCCAATCTGTTGATCTTGATGTTTATTAAGTACAAACAAACAAACCATAGAAAACAAATAGAAAATCTGTGTAAAACCCCCTTCTTAAAGGGAGTGTTCGCGAAAAATGAAAGGGGGTATAGGCTTATAGCGATAAAAAAGCGCTTTAGATCGCTACTAATCTTACTTCTATCTGTTGCGTCTATAAGGAGAAAATTGATAAAGACGTGTCATACCGAAGTTTTGATTTTGTTTTTCAAAAATAATATTTAGCTTCTAGCTTGTTTTCGAACATTCCTGGAAAATATGAAAATGTCGTCTTCATTACCAAAAATCCTCGAAACAGGAATAAATGTTTTTATAAGTAACTCTCAGATCATAACAATTAAAACATATTATGAAAAATCAACTATATATANACTGCACACTCAGTTCAACTACCTTACATAGCCGGTCACTTCCTTTAAAGAGACTGTACGCGTAAATTCAAGGCACCCTCCTTGCAAAAAGGAGTATTCCCGATTTATACCGTTACCTTTGAATTATCCCATAATACGAAACCTCTGTGTGTTTTCTCTAAAATTGTGTTCAAATTGCTGAACTGGAGTGCACGCTAACGAACGTGAAGAATAAGGATAAATGTCTATCATTCTACAGCATTCAAAGGTTCGGAGGGTACTCTTGTGAATCTATACACGGCACTCTACAAATAGAGACTCACTTGAAATACCGCCCACAGTCCCTTTGTTGTTATAATTGCAAATAAAATAAAAGGTTATATTTATTTGTGATGAACATTGACTCTTTGTCT